ATAATACAGGGTAAAAAGTTCATGATTGGAAGACACCAGCAGGTCTAAAGCCCTTGGGCTCTTAACGTAATTATAATAATATTGCGGGTAGGGATATGGCAGCCCGAATGATCACTAAGGCGGCAAACAGTCCACCTCCATAATATCACATAAACAGCGGCAACCTAAGTGAAATTGGGCGATAATGACACTGTGCAAATTAGTATGAGAGCGTTATTTCCATAGGCTTAGGTGGTTTCTCGAAATATGGCATAGTACAGTATTGCAAATAGAAGTTAACTAGGTGCTTGGAAACAGCGCTACAGTAGGTCCTCTACCGTCTCTACGGGGAGTTTTCCAATTAAGATGTCATTTACTGTTACACTACTAAGATATAGTGAGTAGCGCTACTAGCTCACGCTCCACACGCTTTTGTGCCGATTACTAGTTAATACAACAGGTGAAGATTCAGGCAGACCTGGCACCTTCAACCAAAATGAACATTACATATCATACTGGAAATAACCTTCTGATAGCTGTGATGGCTATCTCTGGATGAATTGTGTTTACAATTGTTTATATACCCGCACGGGATACACTGGATATTGTATAATGTATACCTGCACCGACTGCACGGCCTATGTACAGTACGACGAATACAAGGGTTATCTATAATATTCACGCTGAACTTTATACCTGCATTCAGTGCATAGATTATATACATGCTGAACTCATGAATGCTTGATAGGGACTGCTAATATATCGCAGTCAACGATGAAATAAAGGTTAAAGAAAATGTTTCCTTAAAGCTGAAGGGTAAACTACAGGAATAATTATAATTTCTCGTCCTCTTCGCCCCCGATTACTTTTACTTTTTACCTTTCTGCCACTGATCGGTTCGTTAGTCACTTGGGCGGCCGGTCACGTTTCTTGTTATGCACTGTTGGCAAGTAGTAGGCATGTACTCTGTGGTAGATTATTCCAAGAGTTTACAATTCTCACTCCAAAAATGTTTACCTTCACAAGTTTCTGGACTCGTGGCTTCATCACCTTGAGCAGGTTGACCCATTGTGGGACGGGCGTCCGCCAGCTCTAGGTAGTGCCCTCTGAGTCGGATCTTTAATGTTAGAACACAAAATTCTCTCAGAGTTTCTACAAAGCGAGTAGCAGGGTTATTAAGGTGGTTTCATTTCTCCAGCCGATGTCGCCATAGTTAAAGTACCCCATAACAAGGAGGTGGCTAGGGTTGAGAACTGTTGCATTTTCAATTAAGGCTCTAAGTTCCTTAAATTTAACAAGCTACAATTTGGGGATCTGTAGATGTATCCAACTAAGAGTCTCTCCCCTTTAATTTTACACTACTGTACTTTGATTCTTCCAAAACATCATCCCCCTGCACCCTTACCTGGCTGGCTCTAAGGTCCTGCCTAGCATTTTTTTTTTTACGGGAATTAGCTCACCCAGGCACAGGTCACTGACCCACATCGGGGCCTGGGGGGCGAAAACATCATCATCATCATCATCATCATCATCATCATCATAATAATAATAATAATAATAATAATAATAATAATAATAATAATAATAATAATAATAATAATAATAATAATATATGTTTGTTGTGTTGTCAATAGTAAGAGAAACAATTGAGACCCTGCAATTGTGTGTAAATGAGGCAGAAAGTCAGATCAGCAACCTGGGACTTGGTCACAATTTTCGTGATGCCATGTGGCAGCAAGATCTACCATAGACAACACAGTATGCTTCCAATATATTCCCAGGCGGTAGTACCTCCCTGTTTGGTAGCTGCCTAATACCTACTACCTAGGTAGTTGCAAGTTGTCATCTACTGTATATTGAATTCACATTCCTCCCTGTCAATTAGCCTGTTTTTGTACAAGTTCCATAACACCTACTATATCGGATTGCTGCATCTTGAGTAAGGTTTCAAACTCCGCTCTCTTATCAAGTACAGTATATTAGTGTACATGACTTTCAAGCCGGAAATAGTCCTTGGTAACATCTCTGATCTTGGTATCAACTCAGGTGTCTTTCCACTCTCAGCACCTGCTCCGTTTACTACACTTGTCGTATTTTGTGGGGTGTGGCCAGAGAAGACATTGTTTCATGGCTCTCACCTCCTGGATGGGAGGATGAATGGGTAGGGGGGGGGTCTTGCTGTCCCCTGGTTCTTAACCTAGTACTGTCAGCTAAAAAAATTCTGACCAGTTTTTATCATTATCTCCTTTAACAGTGCTACATCAAGAGGCCTTATTTACCTCCATGCAGTTTGTCATGTGACTACTCAATATTTTGTAACTTAATTGGTGAAAGGATATTTGGGATTGTTTAATTATTAGGGGAACCAAAATTTAAGGCATTGTTTGAGAAGATTTGTAACAGGAGCAATATTTAAGGAGTACAGTACCTTAATAACAAAGTTCATGAAAGTGTGTATGAAGGAGATTGAGGGAGAAGTGGGAACCTCACCTGCTGCCATATGACATCCAAAAATTGTGACCAAGCCCCAGGCTGCTGATCTGACTTTCTGCCTCATATACACACAATTGCAGGGTTTCACTTGTCTCTTACTTTAACAACTCAATATAAATATATCTTTTCTCACTATTGTCCTTTTTTTGTGTAATTCATGGTCCTTTATTATTATTATTATTATATTTTATTTAATATTTTTTTAATATTTGTTATTAAATATTACTGTTACAGTATTATACTTTCTCCCCCCAGGCCCTCATGTGGGTCATTGACCTGTGCCCTGGTGGGCTAATCCCATAAAAAAACGGGAGGGCGGGGGGGAGGGGTCTCTGAAGTACTCTCCAATTACCTATGGGATATTACAAAACTTAAAAAATTCTAGCTTCAACCTGGGGCAAACATCCACCAATGACAACTCATCAAATCAGCATCTAATGTTCAGGTGATTGTACAGTAAGTCCTCGGATAACATCGCCCCGATTAACGTTGTTTCGGTACAATGTCGCTACTCTTTAGATACCAATAATTCGGATAATGTCCCGATGACTCAATTTAACGTCGTTCTTGCGTCATCAGGGACTACTTTTTATAGCGCAACACCCTCTCTCGTCTTGCCACGCTACGCTCTCTCGGGAGGAAGAGGCAGCCGCCGAGTGGAACTGAGAGTAAGATAACATACGATAATATGCAATTAAGAATATTTGTACAGAGGTTCTGAAGATGCCATCAACCCCTCAGGGTGTGAGGAAGCTGGGACAAAAGCAGGAGGATAAGCCTCGCCCCCTCAGGATCACACTATTGAGTCAGGAGGATAAATAGGAGGTTATTCGGAAAGCAAAAAACTTAGCAATGAGCGAGGCATCTCGGAGTGTATTCATTCACCCAGTTGGCACGGTAATGCAGAGGGAACAGCACAAGAAGCTCCTGCAGGGCTTGAAGCAGAGAAGGGAAGAGTCGAGGAGGAACGGGGACGGGTGTACATGGGTAATATTCAGGGAAAGGGTAGTGGAAGCAAGTGTGCCGACACAGGGCCAGGGAGCAGCAGCGCACCCTCCACCCGCCCTACCCCCTCACCCAGGAGGTGTCACCAGCTCCGCCTACCAGCCAGGAGGAGGCGATCGCCGTGTAAACAATGACATTTCTAACCACACCCTGCAAAATACAGTGTACTTAGCAAATGCTGCAGCTTCTGAGAAGGGGGGGAGTTACTACTAAGAGCAGAAACGTTACTGAGAACAAATTCTGGCTTGAATGTCATGTACACTAATACTGACACGTTCCTTGATGAGAGAGAGGAATTTGAAACACTACTGAAGGTTCACCAACCAGATAATGTAGGAGTTGTAGAACTGTTGTACAAGAACAGGAAAATCGACCCCAGAGAAATGCGAGTTCAGTATTGCTGGATATGACTCATTTACGAACCTTTCTCAAGAAACTTGCAAGAGGTGTGTGGTTATCTATGCTAGGCAAGACCTTAAAGCCAGCCAAGCGAGGGTACAGGGAGAGGATGTTTTTGAAGAGTCCAAGTGGTGTAAAATTAAATTAAAGGGATGGGACTTACTTATTGTCGGGTGTATCGACAGATCCCCAAACTGTGGCCTACTAAATCAAAGGAACTTAAGAGCCTTAATAGACAATGCGGCGATGCTCAACCCTAGCCACCTGCTTATCATAGGGGACTTTAACTATGGCGACATCGACTGGAGAAACTAATTCACCCCAAATGACTTGAATAACCCTGCTACTCTTTTTGTGGAAACTCTGAGATAATTTTCCGTTCCAACATGTTAGAGACCCGACACATTACAGAGGGGAGCAAACACCCAAGCCACTAGACCTCATCATAACAACCGAGGAGGGTATGGTGGCCAAACTGGAACACCTTGCCCCAGGTGGCACCAGTCACCATATAGTGTTGTCATTCATATTTAACTGTTACCTAGTTCAAGATAAGGCCAAGCCAAGGTGCAACTATTACAGGGGAAATTACAACGGGATGGGGGAAGAGATGAGGGGTATCCACTGGCCTGACTCATTAAGGCACAAGAACGCAGACACTACGCTGAGTCTCAGTGACTCACCATCCTCCTCCACTCCCGCCCTCCTCCTCACCCCGCCTCCTCCGCTTCACTACCCACCACACATTCACTCCACCACCTCCGCCCATCGGTGAGTACCAATACAAAATTATTTAGTTCCATATATATGTACCATTTTCTATAAAAGTGCCATTGAATTTCTGTATATGCAATGTATCTCATGGGGCAACGGGAGGCTTAGGAACGTAACTCCCGTATTTTATCTATTTCTTATGAGGAAAATTGATTCGTTTAATGTTGTTTCGTATAACGTTGAGTTTTCAGGAACATAACCCTGAAGTTAAGCGAGGACTTACTGTATATTGTAGCTACTATAATTACATTTAAGACTTGAAAAATCTAGAAAATATTAAGCACATCACCTGCATGTGAAACTTAGCATATTTATACAGCACCAATTGCTTGATAAAAAAAATCTGATAATTCCCAATCTTACATTTTATTTCATAAAACTTTTGGTAATGATCATATGATTGATTTTCTGTTCATTTTCTTCTTCAATAATTATAATTATTAAATCATTGTACAATACTGTACAATAAAAATGAATACAGTACTCAAGAATTAATTACAGGGAAACTTGTCTATGATAAACAAAGACATAAATACTGTCAGAAATATCAAATTCAAATGAAGTTTATAATATTACACAGTTATATGTTTCAGTATTCATCATATTATCACTGTACAAATCTTCCTGTAAATACCAAAGCAAAAAATACATCTTACAATGTTTGCAAGAACTGAAAAGTAAAATCCGAGTAAGAATAATATACTTAGAAAAATCCTGTATACAGTAGAACTTAGAATCCCAAATACATACAGCACAAGTAATGGAAAGAAGAACATAATCGTCTCACAAATGCAAATACTATCTAGTACATGTATTGCCAGATTATTGCCAAGATGTCACTTCCCAGTTTAAAATAAGTAAAGTCAATTCCATTTTAGAGATACCGTACTGTAGAACCAATGAACCATAATTCCATTTACATTCCCAAAAGGTATTTGATTTAATAAGCAATATTCACAATGAGAGTTGTACAGACATTCTTTAATAGACTTCTAAGATAATTCAGCTTTAATATTTCCAATTTGTGCACACATTACATATACAGTATTGTATTATGCTATACTGATTTTAAATACTGTACCTAATACAGTGCCATAATAATTATCTTCACAGTATTAAATGTATGAATAAAAATACAGTACAAGAAAAAATTTACTGTCCTTGTGGTTTCAGTCAGAGTAAAAAAAATTCTGAAGGTTAGGATTTATCTTTTTACATTATGTATTTCCTTTACTGGCTAGAGTTATAAATGCTTAACATACCACTTAAGTATATTCTGATACTGTGTTATAAAAATATCAATCTATAGCAGCCCTAAACTTACAGGATTTCCTGGTTTCCAATTACTGTACTGGAAAAAGGCACAGGATACAAGTGTAACCTTCTTTTAATGGGAAAACCCTAAAAGTTACCTCTCCATTGCAAGGTCAGTTAGCATATTGTACTGAAATAACACACAGTAGTTTGTTTGGTCTTAAAAGGAGACACATACCTAATACAGTACACAACATTGCTACCATAATATAATAATGTACATACAGTACTGTACTGTACTTTATACAAATATCACCATGTCTTGGATTAATATTGAAATCAACCCCTTGAGGATGATGACCTTATCCCCTTTATGCAATAAATTTATTCCCAAAGGAAGATGACCTGCCCTCTGAGTATTGTACAATAAAATCTACCACTGGAATACATCGATGATCCTGAGTACTAGAGTTCTATGAATGAAGATAAAGTGATAAAACTATACTGTACATGCAAACAGCAATAGAAACTGTAGTGGATTGCATCATGTTGTATGAAGCATATAATACAATAAAATAAAATAGTGTAAATACACAATACGGTATTGTGCATTTACAGTGTACTGAAAATTAATTCTCACATCCAGTATAGGATGCCACATTCACAATCTTTCCAAAACTCGCAGGTACAGTACATGTTCAAATGTTTTATGTAATGACTCAATCTCACCTGAGTATGTACAGTACTGTACTTTAATTTCTTACATGTTGCTCTGAGTTTTATAAATTGGTAGTGTTTTTCAGCCTTCTTACTTTCATTGTATACACAACCAATGAGGCTCATAGTGTACTCTTTACATCTATGATCTTTCTCCATTCTTTAAAACTAATGCTAAATCAATCATAAACTTGGTAGAGCAAAATTTTTCATTCACATACAGCCACGAACAAAAGTTTGCACCCATATGGTGAGACTGAGTCACAGGAATGAGTCTGAACTAACTTACCCTGAATATCATCTGGTGTGGTCCAGGTGTTTGGACCCGACAAGAAAGATGTCGCTCACAGCCTTAGACTAACACTTCCATAACCTAAAATTGAGCTAACACAGGTGTATACAACCATACAGTGGTCAAATAAAATTCATTTATAAAATATTTTTAGTTCACAGTTTTGCCATCTACAGTAATCCTGTTTTCCTCCCTTTTTAATTTTTAGCTCATTGACATGATGCAATGGACTTGACAAAGTGAGATAAAATGGGCGGCCTTGTTATACCGATGATACCCCATGTATGTTATTCTCACATTCATACTCAAAACCTGCTACACTTGTAGTCATGATGTCAAAAACAAAATAGGTTCACACACACACACACATACACATCTATTCAGTATTTAGTTATTCAAATACCAAGTACAATGGGATTGCAGAGTATGAATATCCATAGTACGCGTCCCCCAATTATATGCGTCTGACCTTCTGAACCCGCCCTTACACTTGAGTCTCGCTCTCACGTGAGCCAACCCACCCAGCATCTCTCACTAGCTCAGCGTGTTTATCACTTGTCCATGCTTGTTGAGAAAAAAAATCGAATCAAATCATTACAATACTTCAATGAGGTTTGTAAATAAAAGAAAATATAATATAAAACTATATATAAGACAAATGAAGAGCATGGGTGTGTATGTGTGGGAAATGAACGTATGTATTGTAGCAGTGAGCTGTAATGGTGTCGCCGACTCGCCACATTTTCCCTCCCCTTAAGTGGCATCACAGCATACACACAGTGCAGCACAGCAGCAGCCACAAAAGTGTCTCTTAGTTAGCCCAGCTGAATTGTGTTGCACCACCCAGAGGATGGTTTGAATGTTTGTTTGTACATTTTCAAAGTGTTCAAATGGTACCGGAGGTATAATATTTGTGTTCATTTGTACATTTAGGGTATTTGTATGGTACTGTAGGTTAAATTATTGCCAAGCTCTTCTTTTCTCTCCACACTGGTTCCGTGATCATTTCCCAGGCCTTCGCGCTTGTTAAATTTTTCTTTACTGGTGAATATTACAGCAATCATGGCCCTTAAGAGGAAAATTATTGGTAGTGCTCGAGGTGGTGACTGAGAAAAATAAAAAAGTGCATTACTGTGAGAACTTTTGAAGAAAAAGTCAAGATATTGCACTCACTATGGAATGGTGTATTGAACTTTGTAGTTGTTCACTGGTTACTTGAATACAAAAAAGGGGTTATACGTATATAATCAGGGAGGACCCAAATAATATATACAGTACATGAATTCGCACTTACGCAGATATCCTAGGAACACAACCCTCGTTAACTCTGAGACTCTACTGTAGTGTGCTATATAAATGCCATAATAGAATAAGTAATGTACTAGATAATATACAAAACTTGTACGTACAATACTTGCAAACCAAAAAGTAATGAGCTGGATAAGATATGCTAATATAATAAATATTATTGCTGTATGCTAGTTAAGAACAAAAATACAATAAAATAAAAAGTTTCAAGATAGAACTACAAAAAAAGACAAAATGGTGAAATAAAATGTATGAGAAAAGCAGCAAAGGAGCAACCAATAAAAATTCCCTCAGTATCCCTGTATAAACCCCAACACCCTGTACACTGTACTATATCTTCACTACTCATGCAATAAGTTCAATAATGCCCCCAATATTAAAACAGAGTAAGTAAATTATGAAATGGAGTACAGTATATGAGAGAGACTGATTATGAGCACAAAGAATTGGGTTGGGTATGAAATTAAGAGAGCTTCTACAGGAGATGCAAAAAAGAGAGAAAGGAAAATAAGGAGATGGTAGTTGTAAAGAAAAAGGAAGAGAGGAGAAGAGGAGAGGGAGAAAATTAGAGAAAACACCTTCTTGCTCCATACTGTATTTAGAAAAAACAGAAATAATTAAAATGTGACAACTACAGTACAGTAATATAAATAACTGTAGCCCCAATATAACAAAAATAAAATGGATATTTCTATGAAACTGAGAGCTGGACAAATATATAAACTCCATCTCAGAGTGAATACACTGAGAATATCTAGAAATTCAAAGACATTGATACAAGTACTGTATATATCAGAGATGACAAATCATCTATTAAATTTTAAAGATTTTTGATGAAATCCAATATGATTGCAAAACACAAATTCCCAAAAGTTATCTGAAGTTGCTATAATTCTCAAATCAGCTAAACCATACAATAAACAATTACAGGAATTATACTGATATCATAATCTCCTCAGATGATGAAGCAGAAGTGGAGAGGTCTGGCAAGGAGGAGCACAATACCTGTACTGATACAGTATATCTATAAATTCCACCTTGGTAGCTGAAGCAACACTGGAGGTGTCTAAATATCCTCATGTCGAAGTTTCTTGTATGACTCATGCCTGTCCCTCACCAACCACACACTGTCGATTATTTTCCCATTCTGGGGGGGGGGAGAAACTCAAGATAAAACACTGCTCGGTTTCATTAATGAGGACATTTCTTAGAAAAAATCATTCAAATCAATCATACACTGTTCTTCACAAATGTCAGTGCCCAGTGGTTCACAACACCACTTAATGTCTGAGCTGGAGTTTTATTCTCAAGCGTGATAAAAATAAATAAAATAAAAAACTTCTGGTATGATCCAAATATTCTTGGTTAAAATTATATGTCAATCAGTATCACAAATACAAGTTCATATGCTATGACAATTACTCAACTGTTTTATTTACTGCCTGACACAGACAAGATAAAGTTTACAAGTTCAATATTACAAGCTATGACATGATCATACTTACTCATTTAAATTTTATAGGATCAAGCTTGCCAAAGCAAACTAAAATTACACTTACAAGATCATCAGAAACTTGCTCCCAGTTCAAGTGTGTGTTGTTGAACACCTTGACACGAGTAAAGCCATAATCAATGGAACGGTAAGCTGTCCAAGAAGGTTGTGCCGGCAAGAAGTGATCATGGATCTCGTCACAGCCTGCTGATCCTGTTGTGATGTGTACTGGTGCCCTAAAAGAGAAATATGCATAGGTATACAGTACAGTACATGAATTAAGCACTATTTGTGAGCTAAAACACAGGAAACCACACTAGTGTATATTTCTTAAACTTTTAAGTGGAATAAAAAGTATATTAAGAGTTCAAGGAAATTGGGGCTCAATAAAAAACAAATAAATAAAAAAATGTAGTACAGGCAATCCCAGGTTACAGAAGGGTTCCATTCCTGAAAATCTTTCCGTGACGCGAAATTCCATATCTCGAAACCCTTTTTCCCATTGACTCCCATTACATAAGTTGAGATGCGCTCCCAAGGAAAAAAAATTTTGCCCAAAAACGTAGCATAAGCACATAAGGAATGAAAATAGACACATACAATGATTCAGTCTTGATATAACATGACAATAAATGCACACACTTGAATTTAACATACCAGATGTTGAGTGCTGCATGAGGTGGTGCGATCCTTGACCACCGAAGGGTCAAGACGTACCTGCCGCTCCTCTCGGAGCAGCCAGGTCAAGTGTTAAGTTGGCCCATACCAACCCCCTCCCCTGAACCCTCCTCCCCACTGGAATATCAACAGGTTCTCGCCAGAAGTTACAATTTCATTTAGGAAAGGAACGGAACCAGTGTTAAACAGAGGTGAACAGTGGTGAACAGTGCTTAAGTCAGTGAGAACAACTCAACAGTAACAGTCGTACCCAAGTTAACCTTCACACAGTGAGGTCCCAGGTACCCAGTGATAACGGCCCCCGCGAGACCCAACAACAACCACCGATGTGTTAATCCGTCTACGATAGGAAGGCCTGGGACCAAACCGTACTCATATAACACCATCTGTGAGGGAATTATTACACAACATGTCCCTCATAACACCATATGTGAGGGAATTACTACACCACGTCAAGTCCCTCATCACACCATCTGTGAGGGAATTACTACACCACGTGAGGTCCCTCATAACACCATCTGTGAGGGAATTACTACACCATGTCAGGCCCCTCATAACACCATCTGTGAGGGAATTACTACACCACGTGATGCCCCTCATAACACCATCTGTGAGGGAGTTACTACACCACATGAGGCCCCTCATAACACCATCTGTGAGGTAATTACTACATCACGTGAGGTCCCTCATAACACCATCTGTGAGGTAATCACTACACCACGTGAGGTCCCTCATAACACCATCTGTGAGGAAATTACTACACCACGTGAGGCCCCTCATAACACCATCTGCAAGGGAATTACTACACCACGCCAGGTCCCTCATAACAACATCTGAGGGAACTACTACACCACGTGAGTTCCTCCTAACACCATCTGGGAGGGAGTTACTACACTACGAGTTTGCTGTTCAACACCTACATTAATCTGTATGTTCACTGTATGTTCCTTTACCTTTCTCTAATGAAGGCTTTTGTGAAACCACCAATGTATGTAATAAGTCATTTATGTCCAATGTATATTTTCAGCCTTTGGGCTGCAGAATTTTTTCAATAAACCGTTAATTATTATTATTATTATTATTTTATTATTAAGAGTTAATGGGAGTTACCCCCTTATAATATCAAGTTTAATGTCCAACACAATTCTTTTGTGGAATCTTTTATCACCACTGCTTTCACTTGACCTTCATGGTCTTTTTCCACTCATCTTGAATATGGGTACACGAGGGTTTTGTAGGCCCCACACACCATGAGACTGAATTTGATGATAATGATGACAGCAAAGACAGTAATGTTTTACACCCTAGCACCATTCATTGTGAAAAATATGTCAGAGTTCCTTGCTTATGTGAATGACATTAGAAATAATTATCCAAATGCTTATTTTAGAATAAATGAGTTGTTTGAAGAAGTAACAGATGAAAATGACTTACGTAACTACAATATACTGAATGCCGCAAACTTGTTATATAACACCGATTATACTGATAGCAAAAAATCTAGGGAAAATCAATAATTCTAATTATTTGTAATAAGGACACAGGAATCATGCAGGCTGGTACACCAAAGGTATTTCTATAATGAACTTGATTTACGATACAGTATTTCAATTTGCAATGGGGTTTTCAAGAACGTAACCCTATCATAAATCGAGGGATACAAAATGGCCGCGAATAGCCAAATCCGCGAATAACATTTGCTGACGGAGGGGGGGGAGCGGGGTGGGGGTGTTACATTTTACACGTGTGTAAAGAAATGTATTTTCCCTTTATGTGTTTACCATTAGGATGTTTATTTCTTTTACCTGTATTTTATATGTGTGTGTGTGTGTGTGTGTAGACACACACACACACACACACACACACACACACACACACACAAAACACATACAATAAATAATAATGGGAAAATCCTCTCACAAATAAAAACAAGACAATAAAATTTAGAATAAATGTGAGAGTCCACCCTCAAGTCAACTCCATGCTTTGTTATTATATATACAGTATAGTCTTGATTTACGCGGATTTCCTTTACGCGGTTGGTCATTTACGCGGCACCTGGCCAGACCGGCAATTATTAGTTACGCGGTACATTCCATCATTTATGTGGGAAGCAGCGCTTGCAGGGTGCACGCTAGGTCGCTCAGTCAACAAAGCGTTACCGAGCTCTTCACCAGCCACCCACCACAGCCAGCCCAAGTCAGTGATAGTGATAGTGAGGATATGGACTTTGAGGGGTTTGACAAAGAGGCCCTGCAAGCCTCTGTGGTGGATAGTGATACAGGTGATACAAGTGATACAGGTGAGGGCCAATAATCTGCCCTCTGCCTCGGAACCAACCCCCCCTCCCCGTGTGCTCAGCCATCTCTTCTACTAACGTAAGTGTTAAAAAACCTAATATTATTGATATTTCTCTTAAATATTAATTGTGTGTGCATACCATCATAAAATTAAGATGTTATTTTTACTACAACGTATGTATTGTGTCGGAAAAAGGGTAGTCTGGGGGTCGGCCCAGTCTCTATTTCAATTAATCACATATGTTCTGTTATTTTGTTTACGCGTTTCTCGTTTTACGTGGACCTCCACGGGTTTAATTGACCACATAAACCGAGACTATACAGGTACTCCTCGACTTAAGACCTGCTCGACTTAAGACCACCCGGACATACGACCGCCCAGTCGTATAAAATATTTTTCAAATTACGTACTTTCGAGTCCCGATATTGGTGATCGCGCGATGTACTGACAAAATTTTCGTTTGTAATTCCCTTTAAAATGGCTGGCAAGCATAAAAGTGAGAGTTCTCGTGGTGCTGAGAAGAAAAAGAGACACCCATTTTAGATTTTCTATTTATCATTTTCGCATTTTCGACTTACAACCAATTTGACTTACGACCTGGTCGTCGGTCCCTAACCCATCTTAAGTCGAGGATATATATATATATATATATATATATATATATATATATATATATATATATATATATATATATATATATATATATATATATATATATATATATATATATATATATATATATATATATATATATATATATATATATATATATATATATATATATATATATATATATATATATATATATATATATATATATATATATATATATATATATATAAACACGTCAATAAAATTTTTGCTGAAAAAATATAGTGTTACTTGAATACAACATGATGTTGAGAAAAAAAATACTTAATAAATATTTTAAGCAGACTCTATAAAAGAACTGCAATAAAAATGAAAATATAATTCACCAGAATAATTTATGTAAACATCGAAAGCAATAATTTATTTAAGAAATTGCACTGCATGTCACAGCCTAGACTGAAAAAGGTGTCGTAAACATTGCTGACAGGCATATGAGAGCCCCTGGCACACTCAGTGAGTACCAAGAGTGTACTGTTTATGAAACGGAGGAAAAATTAATTATCCCAAAACATTTTTCTCCACAGACGTTCATACGCTCATAGTGTATAAAAATCCCAAGCAGTTAAAAATGTTCACCTCCCACTGGCATATGAAAACCCTGAGAGAGTTAAGGAAGCATGAACTGCAGGTTGGGTGAGGTGAGGTGAGGGGGAGGGGAGGCTAACGTAAGAGTCCTACTAATAATGTGACAGTGAAACCCAGAGAGAAGTTGTCCCTCTTTGCACAATTTATAGAATTATACTATGGAACAAGAATAATCTTCCAAACTTCATAACTACACATTCCATCAGCTTAAGGTATACAATCTAGGTTAAATAACTTACATTGGGTTAGTGTATGGCTCAGTTGTTGAACCATTCATGACAGTGAAGTTGTACATTGGCCACAACCTCTCATATGAGTGTTCATGTGCCCACACAGCCAAATCTACCCCATACTTGTCAAGAAGTTCCTCCATTGCATATCTGTAAAGTTATAAGAAACACTGGCATCACCATAATCATTGTTTTATGACCATTTTCCATTCTTGCATGTGTAAGCCATGATTACCATCAGGCAAAATTGAAGGAAGTTTTACAGCTGGATACCCTTCCTATTGCCAACCCACTTTTGCAGAACTGGGCATTATATGTAAGACTTCGAAACACCCTTTTAGCTGGCCAGGCAGGGTCACTAAGAGCAAAAATATATTTCTGTTGACATTAAAAAAAAAAGATATACTGGAGCGCAATAACAAAATTAAATGTATTTTAGGGAACTGAAAATTTTCTAAGAAATGATATGTCAACTTACTAGCCATTTGGGCAGTCAGTCTGTTCTATATTACAACCTTCATTCCCAGTGTTAGTGTAGGAGAAAAATAGAGTGCAGCACAGTACCTGAAGAAAACCAGTGATGTTTGATGGGGTCACATTGGATAACAACCTTCTCACATCTGACCTGGTGACTGAACCTTCAATGCAATGGTGAGGCAAGAATGCTACAGGTGTAGCAACAACACCCCATGTAGAGGTTAACTTTAAGATACAGTATTTCATCAATCAAGACATTGGCAGCTAAAGGACGGATAACTGACAAACTGTGTATGGCCATCAATCTTATAAGTGGAAAAAGAAGATTAGCATGTCTAGGAGTGATACTTTTCCTATTTTTAATTAATAAGCAGAAAAGCAAACCACACATTCTACAAGTTATAATACAGTAGTACAGTACTGTATATAAAAAGAAGAGGAACATTATTTCATCCTACACTTTGACCTATCACACTATAAGACTAGTATAAGAAACATTCCTTCCTACAGTTTCATGTATCCCATCCTACAGTAATAGTAAAGAGGTGACCTATGGTGCATGCTCGCCTCGCAAGCGAGTGGACCCAGGATCAATCCCCAGAGAGGGTGAAACTATGGGCAAGTTTCTTCACACCATTTGCCTCTGTCTACCCAGCAGTAACTGGGAACCAGGGTGTTAATCGATTTGTGAATCGTGTTCCGGGGTAATGGTTAGCCAGTGCAGTTGGTGAGTTGTCCAGTCTTCTCGGACTATTCCTTGACACTGGGACATACAACTCGTTAACTTAGGGTGTGGTTGTTGTGTTAGCGACAGCTTCTACGCCTTAAACAAATTCACGCCTAGGTGGCCCTAGGGCAGGCCATCCTCTTTACATAAGGGGCAACCATTATTATTAATAGCAAAGATCAGTATTGAAGTTGATTTCAAGTTTTTAACCCAAAAACATATATTTCTAAAAAAGTCATAAGAAATATTGTTCTCCTCATCATGTTCTCTCAATAATGAAGTCTAACTTTGAATTTTTCAAATCTACAGATGTATTTTGTCAACACCGCCATCTCCCTACACAATCAAGTTCTTTCCCTACTAATTTGGCAATGCTCATTGGTTAGTTCCTTCTAAATCTAGCAATTTGCATAACAGAAATGTAACCAAGTGGCTAACAGGCCAATCAGTGGCAAAGAGAATAAAGTAAATTCAGTGATGTTTGTTTTAATATGCTACAGTACATGTAGTTTGCTATGGCAGTAACATAAACACCACAAGACCCTGATGAACTGTAATACTGTACTACAAGATTTTTAATGATTAATCATCCTACAATTTGGCGTGCCAAAATAAGCAAAGTACTTTAATTCATCTTATTCTAACACATCAAATTAAGAGAGGTATATGTAGTACAGTACAGTACTATATTCTATGACATAATAAAACATGAAGAAAATTTGTGTGTGCTCCTGATCATCATACTCACGTGTGTATTAGTGGTAAACCAACACGAGTGAGACATTGGACCCTGGTGCAGTCATCATGATCAGAATTGGAACAGTACATAGGACGGTGCCCAAACAATATAATCCAAGGGCGTACAGCACGGACCTCAGGCTTTGTTGCTTCCTGTAAGGTTTTTTTATTGATAATACAGGTAATAGCAATTATTACTGTAATGAATATATGACATCATTTATAACAAACATGGTACACCGGTAACAGTAAAAGAAAAAGGAAACGTAATCAGAGACGTGACCGATCGCCAAAGCGGCTAATGAGCCGATCAGTGGTGAAGAGGATAAAAGTAAATCGACCTAGTTTTCCGTCATTCCAAAGCATCAACCTCAAGATAGCTCGGCAGACAGATATATAGATATATAGACAGATAGATACTGTAGTTATTCAGAAAAATCGTCATACAAATCATGTTAATTCATCGATATACATTGTCAATTTAACCAAGGGGGGGGGGGAGGGCGATAACACACTTGTAGTGGATTTCTCCCCTACAAACGCTGTTTGTCGCTGAGTAGCCGACCCCGCGAATTCCCCAGTGTATGCCTTGTGGTCTGGGTCAACCAGCGCCGCCATACTTCACGGAGGTCAACTACTAAGCCACGCCTCCCCCCGCTATTTAAGACCTGACCTCGTGGTGACCTCTCTTTCTAGCTACAGCTGCAGCAAGCTACACCACCTCCTCCGCCGCTGCCTGGCAGTCCTCGCTCCCGCCGGCGAGCATGGCGACCCACAAGCTGTCCTTCTCTGAGCGTCCTCACCAACCAGCTCTCTCTACATCACGCTTGTAGCCATGCTGCCTTCCCAGCACCAAGCTGCATTGTACATCCAATACAACATGTATACAGAGAGCACATTGTGAGTTTCCTTGCTCCATCCCATCCTGAGTGTGAACCAAATATCCCATACCCCACATAATAAAAGTAAAAAGTAAAAGTATGATACCCGATAATATTAATACAGTACAAATAATAATAATATATATATATATATATATATATATATATATATATATATATATATATATATATATATATATATATATATATATATATATATATATATATATATATATATATATATATATATATACCACTTTTGTTTGATAATTTGCTTAAATTTTATAACTCTTCAATACAACAGATAATTATACTGTACATTAGATTAGGAATTTCCAAGCACAGTACTGTACTACAGTACAGGTATATCTTATTGTGCAAAATAAAACCTAATAAATTAGGTGCTACAGGTGCATGTACAATATAAGATGAACAACAGTCAAACTTTTTTTTCCCATAGTACAGTACTGTACTGCATTCAATTCAATTCTTGTACAATCTTTATCATATCCACCAATTATCAGTTTACTATCCATTTGGGTGATCGGTTTATTCTCTGCTACGACCTTTATTATCCAGTTTGTTTTATGCAATTTTTATCCTTTGTACTCATGATCAGGTTAGGTTAGGTTAAGTTAGATTAGGTTGGGTTGGGTTAGGATGGGATAGGTTAGGTTAAATAGGATAAAACAGACGATCGTCTAAGTAGTATGTAATCTGGATAACACGTCTCATATCAGACCCGAGAATTGAACCAGTGGCGCAGTAGTGAGAGGCAAGCGCACAATTGCTGTTGCCGTGATGTCAAGTTCATTTAAGGAGGTCTAAATGTAATTTATAAAGCCACTAGCCAGCCTATAGTATCTGCTAATGTTAGGGAACCCAGATAGAGATCGATGTAGAGCTTTCCTATTATACATAAATTTATTCTGTAACAAATACATACTTGTCCAAATATGAACTCTTCTGGCCTTTTCATGCTAATAAATATTCAAATTGTTTTATTTAATGTCAAATAACGTTAAATCCTGTCTAATTTCGATAATAAAAGCTACGAGTATAATATTTCTTTTAAGAGAAACCGAGAACACAGCATTAGTGGCTGCCTGAATGACGTCATAGATATGTTTTAACGTCACATAACTTTGAAGATATATTTCGTCACTATATATGTATACTTTATCGATTTAATACTTAATTGTGTTATACAATGTAAAATTTTACAGTTTACACAATAAAAATTACCAAAAATAATTACAAACAGAGAACTAACGAATGAGTTGTTTACAAATAACACTTGCCCTCTCCCCCTTCCCGGCTCCAGTTCAAAATAACTCTTGGCGGATTCTCCTCACAAAACACCAATGGAAGGCGAAAGAGTAAAAACGAAAAGATCCATCTTCAAGAGTGGAGAGGAGAATAAAGACGCAAAAAAACGTCTATCGTTTGCAACACACACGGCTTCTGAAACCACAGGGGACAGCCCTGTTGTGGGGTCTCGCCGCTCCATAACCAGCATTGTGCCAACCAATATGAAGGTTAAACACAGTGTTCTAATTAATTGACTGAGTCAGACGCTAACCTTTTAACAGGCAGGGGTTTGTCAGCCGAATAAAATAGTCTAGCGTTTGCCAGAATACAATACCTTAAGTGAAGGGCTGCCCTCTAAAGGGCCCCTTAACCACAAACTTTAAAAAAAATTTTACTGGGCGGTGAAAATTTGTTTTGGTATTATTTCACTTGTTGCCACTAAACGAATCTCTGGCATTTTATAGTTGGAATCGGTAAGTTTGGCAATAGTAAGAAAATTTTCGTTAAATATTCGTCCACTGCCTGTCTTCAGGTTTTGGTACGAGAATAGGTTTTTTTGTGTATTATTTTGGTGTTTTACTCAAGTTTTACCTTCATTTCTTGTGCAAATTAGCATTTTGGGCAAAAAATGAAAATTTTCATTTTAACAGAAACTGCTAATTTGCACAAAAATGGAGGTCAGATTTGAGTAAAACATACCCAAAAAATAACTATTCTTATACCAAAGGAACCAACCTACCTAAACTACAAGGAGGAGGAGACAAGTGACTTAAGAGAGGAGTATAACCTCAGGTAAACATGGTGAGAACCTGAGGACAGTCAATGGATGATTATTAACCCAATTTCCTTCAATTACATTTCTGGTGCAAGTTATGTACAAGCGAGATATTTAACATTTTATTATGTATGTTCATACGTGGCGGTATACACCCAGATCATCAACAACGTAGCGATACACACCCAGAACAATAAACAACTGGAGCTCCCTGGTTAAGTTGGTAGGTTTGGTTGGTTAGGTTAGGTTATATTCAAAACTTTTGGCAGTGGATATTTTGCTGTGACAGGCTAAGTGTCCACTAACGCTATTTTACCGTGTGTGTGCTCTGATTGGCTAATTGTCCATTACAGCTAAACAACACGAGGGCTACATTTGACCGTGACTGGTGGCACTTGGCATTTAATTTGCTGTGAGTCAATCGTTTTATAGCTATTACCTAACCATATTTCTGTTGTGCATGAAAGCTTATCATTAAAGAAACAGGCAACATTTACTAGAACCTACTAGAATCTGATCTAATCAACCAAAGAAACTTACTTAATCTTACCTAACTTCCTAGCAGGGGATCCCCCATCATATTAAACAGAAAGTACTTAGCCAATCAGAGAGCACACGTTAAAATAGCGTTAGTAGGAACTTAGCCAGTCACGGCAAAATATCCACTACGAACTTTGTTGTTTTTGTGTGTTTTGAACACTTTTTACCCTAAGTTTTATAACAAATCTTTACATTCTGAGATGGGAGGGGAGGAGCTATTCTCAGAAAGTATTGATTTGCGACAGAAATGAAGGTCAAATTCGTTCACAACACTAAAAACTATCGGGGAAACATAGTTTCAACTTCGATTCCGTATAGTGGTAACAAGTGAAAATTTACCTTTGTTTTATGCCATAATGGGAATTTTATAGGTAAAATTGCATTTATTGCCACCATACAATTTTGAACCCAACCTAACCTAGAATTGCCATGGTGGCAGGAAATGCAATATCATTTTATAACCAAACTAGGTTTTTCTTATGATTTTATGGTGATTTGAAAGAATGAAATTTTTTCATTGATGTTTATGTATGGAGATATGACTCCTTTAACACTAGCAACACCAGTGATATCTTTGAAGATAAGGGAAAATGTGGGGCTAAACCATACGACAAAACACCAATAGAACCTTTGAGAACCCGGCCTTAACCTATTTTAACATGAATCTTACCATATTTATTTACAAAATATAAGGTAGGTACTCTATAGTATTATATATTACGTTATGATGGTCAATTTGGTTGTTTTCATGAATTATAAATTACAGGCATATAATGTAGCAGTATTTCTTACTTCAGAATGTTCCCAGACTAGCCGAATATAAACAAACAAGCTCTTATGAGTTTTCCGCCCATTACGATTATACACGTTTACTATTATTTTTGTTTTTATCCATCCAGAACCGTGCATGGCTGCACACCATGAATTATCAGCTAGTGCTACAATAATTTATCGGATAAAATTAAAAACCTAACTTAGATTAGAAAGTTAGGTTAGTTCATTTTATTATTGAAAAATCATATACAGTGGGGTGTGCTATAACGAATCTAATTGGTTCTAGAACCTCGTTCGTTATAGCATTCGTTCGTTATAGGATTAATCCGTTTCAGGCCCCCAAATACAACCACGTAACACTGAAAAAATTTGGTGGAAAATGTAAAAAATACGGTACTTTATCTTACCTTAGTGTTGTTCAGCATGCAGGACAGGAGGCAGAGGAAGAGGGGGGAGCAGAGGTGGAAGGAGAGGAGGCAGAGGAAGAGGGGGGAGCAGAGGTGGAAGGAGAGGAGTCATCCTTCCTAGCCCTCTTTGGTGACTGTCTCACAGGCACTTTGTCTGTAGGGTCTTTTGTTACCTTTGTAAAGAAGAATCCAGGGTTGGCTGCTTCAACCTTGATTTCTGGACCTTCCAAAAGTAGTTCATAACATTATCATTAAACACGCTGATGGCCTTTTGCACAGAACCAACATCAGGATGATAATCCTCAGCAAGTTTGGACAGTTTGCTCCAGCAAAAGAACGCATCCTTGAGATCTTTGGCTGGAATGATGCGGCTTTCCTCCTTGTCGTCCTCCTCCCCTGACTCCTCAGAAGTTAAGCTCCGCTTCAGTGTCTCGTTTTGTTCTTTGTGAAGCTCAAGCAGCTCCTCAGTGGACAGTTCCTTACTGTGCTCTTCCACCAACTCCTCAACATCATCATCATCCACTTCCAGGCCCATGGAATTGCCCAGAGACACAATTTCATGAACAACAGCCTCTTCTTCTAACTCTTCGAAGCCTTCAAAGTCTCTTTGAAGGACACATTCAGGCCACAATGGCCTCCAAGCAGCACAAAGACACCTCACAGTAACCTCTTTCCAGGCCGAGGTAATTAAAAAAACAGCGTCTGCTATATTGAAGTGACTCTTCCAAAATTCCTTAAAGCTAACATCACTGGAAGAAGTGGATGCAAAACATTTTCTAAACAGTGCCTTTGTGTACAGCTTCTTAAAGTTAGAAATTACCTGTTGATCCATGGGCTGGATGAGAGGTGTTGTGTTGGGTGGCAAGAAGTGCACAGTAATGAAGTTGATCTCCTCTGGCAATTCAACCATCAAATTAGGAGGGTGGGCTGGTGCATTGTCCATCACCAACAAAGCTTTCAGTGGAAGATTATTCTCCCTGAGGTATTCCCGAACACTGGGCCCAAACACCTAAATCACCCACTCAGAGAATAAATTCCTGGTCACCCAAGCCTTTGGGTTTGACCGCCACATAACACCAAGGCGGGTCTTCCTAATGTTTTTGAAAGCTCTGGGGTTTTCTGCATGGTACACAAGGAGTGGCTTTATTTTGCAGTCACCAGAAGCATTAGCACAAAGAAGGAGGGTAAGCCTGTCTTTCATTGGCTTATGGCCAGGGACAGAAGTTTCCTCCTTGGTAATGTATGTACAGCGAGGCAATTTTTCCAAAAAAGTCCAGTTTCATCACAGTTGAATACCTGCTGAGAAACAAAGCCTCCCTCTTTAATAACATTAAAAAAAATATCATGGTGTTCCTCAGCTGCTTCCTTATCTGCACTAGCAGCGTCACCATGTCTCACAACACTATGTAATTTATTTCTCCTTCTGAAACCAGTAAACCACCCCTTGGTACCCCTAAACACTGGCACATCACTATCACTTGCACTGAGAGTCTTGGCTTTAAGGTCCTCAAACAATTGTCTGGCCTTCTCACAAATTATAGCTTCACTAATGCTATCACCTGCCATTTCTTTCTCCTTTATCCACACTAAGAGTAAATTTTCCGTCTCCTCAATCACATTACACCTTGCTTTGCTAAGTCGAGAGATTCCCTTAGCCACTTGCACAGTTTTCAACTCCTCTTTATTCTTTAAAATCGTACATATAGTCGATTTAGCCATCCCATACTCATAACCAAGTTTCGCAATGCTTGTTCCATCCTCACGTTTCTTTATGATTTCTTTCTTAGTTTCAAGAGTTATGAGCTTTCTCACTCGCTTTGGATGATTCATTGTCACAATTGTACACTTGTATAACAAAATATTTATACAAATAACTCTATTTCCACATCAAAAGACGAAATTTCAACAATAACAGTGATGCACTGGCTACACAATGAGACAAAGATGGCGCCTGACGCTCTTGTTGTGGGTCGCGGTACAACAATATTCATGCGCCAGGCGAAATAGTCCCGTATTCATCCGCGTTCGTTGTAGCATTCTCAATTTTATAGGTAAACCGTTCGTTATAGGAATATTCGTAGTAGGATCCGTTCGTTATAGCATACCCCACTGTACAAGTAGTATTCAGTAGCTGTTAAGATTTTGAAAGCATGACGGATATAAACAATGGATATAGTGTATAGAGTGCGGGCACTGAATAGTGTTCGGGATAGAAATACTATACTGTAGTCGTAAAAATAAGACAGCACAGTACTGTGTACATTCCTGTACTATAATTAAAAAATTATTCCTTCCCATTTTGGGGAACTTTTCATGAGGTAAAAAACCCCTACACTCTCAAGTATATATATGGTAAGTAAATCTCGCAGAAATTCAACTGGTAAGTTATACTAGTGGTTCTTAATTTTTTCCGTAGCAACCAAAAATTAAATCGATAAGGCATGATTGTGACCCAGTATAAAATACAATTAAAGAAAAAAATATCTTTATTTTGTTAGTACTGTATAATATACTGTAATGCAATACACAGTACTCTAACTCAAACTACAGTAATAATATATCATAAAATGTAAATAATATGTATAAGAAGGATGATTTTGTCTTGTCTTAGCCAGGTAATGCTCAGGCTACAGCCTGTTTTGAAGCTTAATCTTGTCAGTGATAATGTTGAAAATCTTGCTTCACAATGGTACTTTAAGAGCTTCAGCAGCTATGATTGTTCTTTCATTGAAGAGTATGACCCAGAAAGTACTGAGGGACTGCTGCTTGAAGCTGTGGTGCAGTAATTCATCATGTTGTATTTCTATCAGTTGTTCATGCAATCCAGGTGCACTATCGTTTGGAAAACCTTCCACATAAAATCATGAAGGATTTTGAACCCATCAGTTTTTCTTGGTACAGTATCTTAAGAAGGACCATAGTGTTTGAATTCTTCACCGAGATTGTTCATGTGCTCCAAGACACTGCCACGAATGTCCTCAAATGATGCTGATGCATTCCCTTGAAATTCTTCCGACAGGTGATTTAAGGACAGGAAAGACCCAGTTTTTCTTCGCTCCATTTTGCCTTTCCACAACTTCAGTTTGTCCTTAAATGAGGACAGCTTGTCACTGAGTTCAATGAAAGTGTGATCCCCGACCTTGCATGGAAGCATTCAGGCAATTAATTCAACAGAACAAATCTAATAGGCAAGTTACTTGGAGTAGCCTTTTGAGCTCAAAGAACCCTCCAGCCAAACCATTTTATGCGAGTGAATAAAAAATTAAAAAGTGCATGTTTGTAGGTACGTTTCCCCATCCTGAAAGAAATACAGTAATTGTACAATATTAAAATACAGGACTAACTCAGCAGCCATCGATGCAAAAAATAAATAATAATAATAATAAATAAAAATAAATAAATAAAAATTTATATAGCTTCGTGATCCAAATTTGAGTCATGGCCCATAGTTTAAGAAGCACTGTTCTATACAAACATTTCCTCAAGTTCTTGGTTAAGGTGCACAACCTTCAAAGTATTACCACAAATAAAGGTGCAGTATATTATATAATTGGTCTGGAAAAGGTTGCCAGTTTATTTTTTTGCATTGGGGTTTTGACTAATTTTTTTTGTGTACTGAACTGTACTGTACAAAATTTAAAGCTTAAACTGTACAGGGTACTTATGCAGACTGACACACCTAAGCTAAACCCCCTGCTTAGCTAAGTTAATTTTATTTATTTATTTATTTTATTATTTTTATTTTTTTGAGAGGGGTAGGGGGGGGGGTGCTTAAAAGGTGCAGTTTGGTGTATATCTGTATATAAAACCTGAGAATAACATTAATTTTGGCTGTACTTGCCATTTTGAAACTTGTGGGATGCGTTAGTCAGGCCGCACCTCGATTATGCGGTTCAGTTCTGGTGCCCTTATTATAGAATGGATATCAATTCACTGGAGTCGGTGCAACGAAGAATGACAAAAATGATTCCGGGACTTAGAAACCTTCCATATCAAGATAGGTCAAAGAAACTAAACTTGCATTCCCAAGAAAGACGAAGAGTGCGGGGAGATATGATAGAAGTATTTAAGTGGGTGAAAGGAATCAATAAAGGCGATATAGGTAAAGTTCTTATAATATCCGAGCAGGATAGGACTCGTAGCAACTGATTTAAGTTTAATAAGTTTAGGTTTAGGAGGGAGATAGGAAGGAACTGGTTCACAAATAGGGTGGTGGACGAGTGGAACAAGCTTAGCAACTTTGTAGTAAGTGCTGGAATGCTGGAGAGTTTTAAAAGGAGGCTAGATAGATTCATGGATGATAGAGAGTGGTAGTAACTTGACAGGAGCTGCCATGCATAGGCCAACCGGCCTATTGCAGACTCCTTATTTTCTTATGTTTATGTTCTGAAATGTGGAGCGTGGGGCTTGTGGCTGTGTGGTGTAACTTACCATGTTGCAACATCGAGTCACATTTACAACTCCTGGAGTTATAGCTCCACTGTTCCCCTCACCGAATTTCATCACATTTCACTAATATATGTCTTAATTTATTCATAACAAGTTTATTGTCTGTTTTTACCTCAACAAAATAAAAAAAACAAATGGATGAAATGCAATTTTCCTAAACTTATTTTGACAAGTTTTTTCATCCTGAACTTGATTCTATACTGTACTGACGAACTACCTATTGGCAAAGCCATATTGACTGTCTATGACCACACCAAAACACAAATGTTTAGTAAACATTAACATTCTAGGAAGGGGTCCAGGATAACCAGCTACCTAACGGCGAATGTATATAGTAAAAGAAAATGTATTTCTGCCTCGAGAATCTCCGTGCTACCTGACGATGTCACACTTACCCTTCAATTGTTTACGTGAGCAGGAATGTTTCATAGACATTATCATTTCTGTTTCATACTCATAAAGAAACAGCCATTTAAGAATTTTATTTGGACTGTATACATGGTGATAACATCTTTCTTTTATTAAGAAAATCCCCCCAAAAAGGACAAGGGTTTGCATTTTTTATATTTTATTTGGTGAGAAGTATACATGTACGATTTCCAGCATCCTTTCCATACACATGAGCACTTCCAGTGAACCGAGCTAACCTACCCCAGTATCTATCCTAGAATGAAAGTACTGTACTGTATTGTCTATTATTTTAGGTTGGGTTAAGTGAACCTACCTAACTTACCTGTTATAGGATTGGATAGAGTAGGTCTGGTGGTAACATGCAATTGATTTTGTACGGAAAAGTCGCTGGGAGAAGTTTGTCAACAGTTCAGACACAAACATGGCATCATCGGGTGGATGGGAAGGGAGTGTTTTTATTTACATGAAAATCTACGGAAAAACAAAACACAAAAAGTGCAATTCCTCTACTTCATTTGGGTTATTCTGGAGGGAAACAATTATAGGTATTTTGTTTTCTTTTCGATAAATATTTTTTGTTTCATAGCTGGGTAACCCAGACCACTCCTATGATGTTACCATTCTTTCATGTGTAATGAATACTGCACAATATCTCAAACAATTATAAGGATTAAATAATAATAATTATAAAACCCTACAGCAGAAACATTGTATACATTCCCTCATTTATTTGCTGCAAAACAAAACCATGATTCTCAAGGCTGCAATATAACGGAGTAATACTTTAGGCTCTGCTTTCTTGCCTAATGTACTTTATATAAGCAAAGTAGGAAAGAATGCCTAAGCTCAAGAAATTTCACCGTTATAAATGTATCTGCGGTGAGGATTCATTGCCATACTAGAAAATATCATGCACTATTAAAACCATTTTAAATGGATACATGTATTCAAGTCTAATGATAATCAGATTTTATTTAATGTTTTTTTTTTCTAAACAGAACCGAATTCAAGACCTAAAAGTCACCCCTCAAAAGAAAGGGCAAGAATTGGGAACTCAAGATTCTTCCCAACTTATCAGCCAATCAGAACTTCAAGAAAACATTACCATTATTTCCCCTGCATGCAAGAATATCAGACGCACTACTATGGGCTTGTGTTATGTTCCAAAGAAAATGCCAGAACAACCAATTACACAACACAAGCAAACCGTGCTCATGAGGAATAACAAAAAGAACAATATTCATACAGTCCTGCACAGTATAGCTACACCAGAACCTACAGTAAACATTTTGGTGAGAAAATACTGGAAATTTCTTTCATTTAGATTTGAGTTCATTGCACATTCCTCATAAAACTGTTTTTAGATATTAAATACAATACATACTGTATGTAGAGTTTTGATTTTGTTTGAGAATAATTTGTGTATGAATACCACCATAGTTGGATGGATTAGGTCTAGGTAACCCCCAAACTTAGGCTGCACAGATTAATACGAAGATTAACTAATCCTCATAACAACCACCTAAGCATGGAGGAAGACAGCAGACACAATTCCCATGCTAAGGAAACAAATAGTGCCAGACACAGTTCCTGTACTTGCCACATCCTTTTTCATGCCAAGGACATCATTGCATCATGTAGCAACCTAAAGCATTTACCTCAACTAAAACCAGACTCAAATCCAATATTACATGCTAATGCATTTACATTAACAAAATTCCCAAAGGGCAAACTGTACCTTAGTCCAAAAACAGCAATATAACATAATTTATGTATACACAATCTGCACAGTATAGCATTCAACAATTTATCATTACCCCATATATACTGTATTCAATGCTTCCAACTGTATACTGTACAGTATAGGTATACTGTAATATATACAAAGGTCATTCAATAAGTAATGAGACATGAATATAACTACAGAAGTAATGATTTATTATTTATGATCACATACCTATTTTTCCACATACAGCACTCTCCCTCTGCAGCTATGCACTTGTCTCATCTTTCTACAAGTTTTCTTATTTCTGTTGTGAAAAATTCTTTCGGCTGACTTTGTAACCAATTTCGGATTTCTCCACCTTTTCATTATTCGAAAAAAGCTTTCCACTTAAAGTTGTTTTGAGTGGATCAAACATGTGTTTGTCTGATGGAGCGAGATCTGGACCTGTATGTAAGGTGCGACAAAGTCTCCCAGCTCAGTTTTCTAATAATTTCCTGTGTATGCTGTGCACTATGGGGTCATGCCTTTTCTTTGCAAGCCGGGACACTTCTGAATTATAACTGGCTTGATCTCATTTTCTCGCATTTCAGAATAAGTGCACTGTTGATGGTATGCTATCTTCAAGATAGTGGCAGTACATGTATATTGATCCATTCATATCCCAGAAAAGATTAAGCATCACTTTATTTGCTGAAGGGAGCAATTTGAATTTTTTTGCTTGAAGAGATGAAGAATATTTCCACACCATGCTTTGATATCATTTTGACTCTTGTTCAAAGTGGTGCACCCAGGTTACATCACAAGTCTCAATTTGCTGTAGAAATGCCTCACCTTCGCGTAGAAATCGTTCTTTCAGTTCAATTGAAATTCGCAGTCTAGCGGCTTTGTTTTCTAAGCTCAACATTTTGGGGACCCAGCATGCACAAGTTTTCTTAAACTTCAGAACATCATGAACAATGCTGTGTACTGTACCAACACTGGCATTCAAATCTGTTGCAATTTGTTCAGTTGTAATGCATTGGTTTTCCAAAATTTGCTGCTCAGTGTTACGGTGCATGTGGGTGTTGAAACTTCGATAGGTTGTCCGGCATGATCTTCATTCACAATGCTCATTCTACCATTTTGAATTGTTCAACCCACTTGTAAATGTTTGCTCAACTGATACAATTGCTTCCGTATTGAAGTGACATTCTGTGATGAATTTCGCTTGGTTTATCCCTTTTGAATTAAAAGAAATGAATAACAGATCGTCGTTCTTCAAAATTCAAGCGGAGTGCTCATTGTTAATGCAACAATTACTCGAGACTAATTGAATGATCTGACTAAACAAATGAAGATGTAGCTTATGCATGTCTAAACATGTCATAACATGATTGCTGTGCTTACCCCTCCCCTTTGCCACCTACATCAAAAAGTCTCGCTACTTACTGAATGACCCTAGTACTTCATTGAATCCTGGCTTAATTTTCCTTCCAGATAATTGGTGATAAAATTCTAGGAGAGAAGATTAAAGCTAGCCTATTATATCAACACAGTTTCCAAAGAACACCAAATACCATCAAGTGGAACCTCACCCTTAATATGTAAGTCCTGTGCTGTTAGTTTTTAAAAGGATATGTGAAATTTTCCCTACATGGGGCCCTCCAAGGTGACATGACCCCACATGATTATAAAGCTCGAGCACAGTTTGTTAGTAACACCTAATATTTTTTTGTTTTTTAAGAGCAATCTAGATATTTTCATCTTATCCATTAATCAAAAACTTTACCTTTATGAATGAGAATGAAGAAAGGCCATGTTATGTACAGTAGTAGAACGTCAATATAACACGAGATACCTTCCAAGAGAGGTCGCTTTAAACCAAATTCGCACTAAATCAAAGTGTTGTTTCAATGGAATAATTTAGTTTGGTACTTGAGAGAAACACAAAATATCTGTACTGTACTAAAAAGACTGACAGTCTACCCAGATGCACCTCAGCCCATCTAAAATAATTATTATTTTTTTTTTGTATTATGTTAAAACAAACACAGCTAAAATTATGGGACATGAAATGGTCTGTTTACTAGCAATCAGCTGATGGGAAGATGGAGAGGGGGGGGGGGGAAGGTGAGGTGATATGTTTGACAGTTGATGCCAAGGTCTAGTGCTTATTTATTTAAGTTTTTCACTTATAAAATATCATTAAACTGACATGTTCTAATTAATTTTATTACAAAGGGCTAAAAACTTGTGCAAAATATCTCTTGTGCAAAATATATGACGTTTATATTCAAATTATTCAGTCTTGCAAGGGTTCTAGCAATGCAAATTATATTCTAACTTTAGTCTGTGATATTATATAAGATAAAAACTTAAAAGCCTAACCAAACCCTGGCCGAGGAAAGGGAGGTGACATGTTTGACAGTTGTGCCGCTGAAGGTTTAGTGAAGTATTTATTTGTTTATTTATGTCCTTTAGATTGAGTTTTTGTTTTTTGTGTATAAAATGTCACAGAAGTGACCCAAAAGAATAAAATTTACATTGTTGGAATTCTTTTAAGATAGTGATTAATTTGAATACAGTGGCCCCTCGGTTAACGAACTCAATCCGTTCCAGAAGGTCGTTCGTTAACCGAAACGTTCGTTAACCGAAACCATTGTTTCAATGGGTTTCTGGGTAATTGGTTCCAGCTCACCGAAAATTTCCTAAATTCAACAAAAATGGTAGAAAAGTTCACTTACTTTGAGGTGTGTATGTAGAAGGCTCCTGGATGATGATGATGATGATGGGATTTAGAATGGGGGTGGAGGAGAAGGAAGAAAAGAAGGCATTGGGGTGGAAGAGAAGTCACCCCATGGTGCCATTTCACCCATAAAATGTTAGCTCTCTGGTTTAATTCAAGATTATTTTCTTTAAATCAACGCTGCACTGCATTATATATTGTCAATATATAAAATATATTTCAAAATGACCAATAATTTGCTTGGAAACACAGAAAAAAAGCGTTTAGTTGAAGAGAGTCTCAAGCAAGATGTTACCTCCAGTGAAAACAGAGAGAGACTGACGCCTGTTTGCTGTGTTAAGAGGCTGGATGCCGCGCATTAAACTAGTCACTTTACCTTCAATTTTGTTCAATAATTGTTAAAATGACTAAAAAATTGAATATTAAACTTTTAAAATTATTGAATAGTATAAACTTCTTGATATTTACAAAAATAGTAAGGAATTTAAGCCCTAGAACCGATTAATGTATTGGCGGACTGATACTAAACCTGGTTGCCCGGTCAGTGCAAGCGAAAACATGTTGAGGTCGGTTCGTAAGAAGTTCGTTAAGCGATTTTTTTTTCGTTAACCGAATTGAAGATCCTTATAGAAGGCAGTTCGTTAATCGAAATTTCGTTAAACGAGGGGTCACTGTATAATTATGCTATAGTTTGCACAAGACAAAAATTTTAGTAATCATTTAGTACATTATTTTGAGTACAGTTCCTCCCCGACTTACGACGGGGTTAGGGACCCGAATCCAGGTCGTAAGTCGAAAATGATTAAATAATACAAAATCTAAAATGGGTGTCTCTTTTTCTTCTCAGCACCACAAAACTCTCACTTTTATGCTTGCCAGCCATTTTAGAGTGAATTGTAAACAAAAATTTTATCAGTACAAAGCGCAATCACTGACGTTGGGACTCAAAAATACGTAATTTGACAAAATTTTGGTACGCCTGAGGCGGTAGTATGTCCGGGTGGTTGTAAATCGAGTAGGTCGTAAGTCGGAGAGGAGCTGTATATGTACAGTACAGCTTTGCCCTTAGGACAGTGTAGCGTGCCCAGAGAAACAATAGGCACGAATTTTAAAATATTGACTTGCGCAAAATAGGAAAGATTAGCTTTAAATTAAAACATTGTCCTTAATTGTGGGTGTCGCTTTAAATCAATAATCTTAAATTGAATTGCTTTAAATCGACGTTCTACTGTATAAGAGAATTAATGGAAGATTCTTATGAATGATAAAGTGTGTTTGCTTACAAGGTACACAGTACAGTACATTAAATTTTATTCAAATTGCAGACTTAAAAATATATGGTTAATTATCATGAGCTTTATGACTGAAGAAAGTGGAATACAGTAGTGATTTTCTACAAACTATCTTAATGAACTGAAATTTGGCCAATCTCATATTTATGTCCCTGAAGTTTCTGTATCTCTTGATATACCCCACATAAAATTGGGATAAAAATTAAAATAATGGAAGTTTAATTTTATGTAAGAAATAGTAGGAAAACATGTAAATACAACAACACAGTGACAAGAGGAGTACAAGTAATGCAGTTGAATTATTTTATGAATTTGGATGTGAAATATAGAGAGTGGACAGTAGGTGTTAGTGTAATGTTTCTGTCTGCCCTCTCCTCGAGTCATCAGGTCAGTTTCTTGACTATAAGCAGTGAGTAGTAAATGTTTTCATATTCATTCACAATTTAAAGCTTGTGTATCTCTTCCATTTATTTTTATATCTAACTCTTAAACTTTGTAAGTGATTTGTTCATGCTATACCATTATTTGACCATATCACAGGACAGTAATCTGAACTAAATTCCTGCCATTTAATTTCAGTGTGTGTGATGATAACCCATCAGCAGACACACTGCCAAGTGTCCATTTCTTTTTCCTCCTCGTCTTCATGGATAAACTTGAAAGGTACAAAAATAATGTTCTTCATATAAAACAATCTCCGTATATTGAAGCACAGTCTCGTTCAAGATTCTTTGAACACTGCTGGAGACAGCTGGCAACTCAAGGCCATTTGTTTACTATAGTACATACGTAGTATAATATAATACGAAACAACAAAGCCCAACCAGTAAATTAAGCAACGGGGAACTAAGTAACTAATCATCGATCACTTTCACATTTATTCTTAATTTTTATGTACTATAGTAAACAATCGGCCTTGAGTTGCCAGCTGTCTCCAGCAGTGTTCGAAGAATCTTGAACAAGACTGTACCAGAATACTTGTATGGCTATCAAAGTAATCAAGTATTGAACCTCTTCACTGTGGCATGAAATATGTCAAAATAATTAACTTTCACAAATTCTGTTTTCAAGTGTTTTACTGCCTCTTCTAAACAACATACTGTACATATAAATGTATTGATACAGTATTGTATACAAGATTTTTCATACCATTTTTTTTATATAATCTTAAGTACTTTACATGTATTTATAATATTTTCCTCAACAAATAGTATAAGACATCTTTATGACTCCTACATGACAGCTGATCTTTTTTCTTGCCAACAGTCTGTCATACATGTCAATTATCCTGACCAAAATTGATAAAGCTGGAGTATCATGTAAACAAAAGTTGGTGTTGTCTGTTTCTTCTGCACAAGAATTGCACAAAAATGTCATTGGTTTGGAGAACTTTGAAAGTTTCCTTGATCATCATCAGCTTGTATACATTCCATGGGAAAAGCAGGTTGGTAGTGACTACAGATTTTTATTCTTAGTTGTTGAAACAATAAGACAACAAACAACTCCGTACTAAACTTGAGACTGTTACCATCACTAAGAAAGAATACTCTATACTTTTCAGGGGAGACCAAGTGACCACCAAGTGAAGAAACTACTAAGCCTCACATACAAGAGTGTTGGGTATTACAAAGATTGCTCGTTATTAGAGAGTTACATAATGCTGCGAGGTGTGAAAGATTACCAGGATGATGACACCATTTTACAGGAAGGCGTGTTTTAAGCTGTCATCGGATGGTGTATTTTAAAATAACACCCTGTTTGCCCTTTCTTAGGTAGGACATTATACTTTCTGTTAACATTTTATACAGCTTTTGTAAGATGGAAACCCCAGCTGAGAAAGGACTTCATTTGGACCTTAACATGGAAGGATGTATGTCTGTATTATCAACTATAGCTCCTCCCCGACTTAACGACCACCCGGACATAAGACCGCCTCAGTTGTACCAAAATGTTGTCAAATTACATATTTTCGAGTCCCAACATCAGTGATTGCGCTGTGTACTAACAAAATTTTCGTTTGTAATTCACTTTAAAATGGCTGGCAAGCTTAAAAGTGAGAGTTTTGTGGTGCTGAGAAGAAAAAGAGACACCCATATTCGATTTTCTATGTACTATTTAAGCATTTTCGACTTACGACCTAAGTCGGGGAGGAGCTGTACTGTATGTTGTGGTGCCCCCAACTATGTGTTAACCCTGTATTACCAACTATACATCATTCTGTCCCCAACTATGTGTTAACCCAGTATTGCCAACTATGTCATGCTGCCCCCAATTATGTGATAACCCAGTACCGTATTGCCAACTATGTGTTAACCTTGAAATATTTAAATGCATGTAGAGTAAAGAATTTCCCATCCTAAATTAAGGAATTTCTTTTACAGTGAATGTACAGTACAGTATTTCAAACAAATTGATTCAATTAAGTACAGTAAGTCCCTACTGAATGAAAAGGTTAGGTTCCACTAAAATGCTTTCGTTAGGTGGATTATGTTCACTGAAACTATTTTTCCCATATAAATTAATGTAATAAGGGGGGAATGTGTTCCTGTATTAAGCTCTGGGACAAAATAAGTCCAACACATCAATATACTGTAGATAAAAACAATAAATAAGGAAAACATAAAGGTACAAATAGTGTTACTGTACTCACCAAATCCACTTTGAAAGCAAACAGGTGCAGTGGTTGTTCCTCTCCAAAGCCAGAGGAACACAGTTACTTAAACTTATTTAGTTATTGCTAGAGGCAGGATCATCTGCCTCTTCACTTGAGGCACTGTGATCACTGCCATGGTCCACAGGACTTTGGTGATGGTGGCGGTGATGTCAGCTGATTGAGCAGTGACAGGCGGAGGAAATGTCATTTTCTTTTTAAAGAAAGCGTGGTGTTGGCTCTAGCTGTAGCCATTCTTCATTTGTTAGATCTTCACCATGTCCCTCAAGCAGATCTTCTATGTTTTCCTCATCCACCTCATTAAATCCTGCTTGCTGAACCAGCTGCACGATCTACTGGTTTGTATCAGCTGGAGATTGTGGGAATCCGTAAATACACACTGGCCAAATTTTTTTCCACACACCATTCACTGCAGAGCCAGAAACTTCATCCCAGCCCTCTTTAATATTTTACAGAGCTTTCTTTATATTAAAATCTTTCCAAAACTGTCTTATTGTTGTGGGTTCTGGGCTAAGAAGCCTCCCTACGAAGCATTCCCAAAACAGAGCAAAGAACATTTTAGGTCCGTGGGTGCTGGTTCACCGGGAGGTGGGAAACATAACAGTTGTCAATTATTGTTTGTGGGAATATTTCATTCCCTCTAGTAATGATACAATGTTTCTTATTATGTTATCATAGGTAAATGCATGGTTTATATAATTTGTTTATCATTGGGCCTGTCACCATTTTCAAATTAGACTACAGTATACCGTCCCATTAGTCTCACGTCAATCATAGGCAAGTTGCTAGAGTCAATTATTGCTACGAAAATCAGAAGCCACCTTGAAACATTCAACTTAATTCATTCTTCTCAGCACGGGTTCACCCAGGGACGTTCTTGTCTCACAAATTTGCTTAGCTTTTTCTCAGAAGTATATGAAGCGGTAGATAATGATAAGTCATATGATATAATTTATTTAGATTTCAGTAAAGCATTCGATAGAGTCCCTCATGAGAGATTGATAAGGAAGGTAGAAGCACATGGAATAGGTGGATCATTATTAAAATGGATTAGGTCATGGTTAACTGGTAGGAAACAAAGAGTCAGCATAAATGGATTTAAGTCAGACTGGGGTGCGGTCAAAAGCGGAGTTCCCCAGGGATCTGTATTAGGCCCTCTGCTGTTTGTTATATTCATTAATGATCTTGATTTAGGTATAACTAGTAGGATTAGTAAATTTGCAGATGATACCAAAATGGGGAGAGTGATAAATTCAGACAGTGACTTTGAACACCTTCAAAGAGATCTAGATACCTTACATGAGTGGCCAGTAGACTGGCAAATGAATTTTAATACTGATAAATGCAAGGTACTACAGATAGGGAAGACGAATACAAACGTTAAGTATAAACTAGGTAACACGGAAATAGAAAACTCAGATTGTGAAAAAGATCTAGGTGTATTTGTTAGCAACGACTTGAAACCTAGAAAACAATGTATTAGCGTTCGCAACAAGGCAAACAGGATTCTTGGGTTCATATCTAGGAGTGTGAGTAACAGAACTGCTGACGTTATCTTGAAACTTTACCTAGCATTAGTGAGGCCACACATGGATTATGCGGTTCAATTCTGGTGTCCTTATTATAGAATGGACATAGATTCTTTGGAGAGAGTACAAAGAAGAATGACAAAAATGATCCATAATATTAGAAACCTTCCATATGAAGAAAGACTGAAAAGCTTAGGCTTGCATTCATTAGAGAGGTGTAGAGTTAGGGGAGATATGATAGAGGTGTTCAAGTGGGTAAGTGGGATTAACAAGGGTAAAATGGAAGATGTTCTGAAGCTCAGTGATAACGAAATAACTAGAACAAATGGCTTTACATTAGATAAATTCCGATTCAGAAAGGATATAGGCAAGCACTGGTTTGGTAATAGAGTTGTGGATATGTGGAATAGGCTACCGAGTGCTATAGTAGGATCGGGGACGCTAGGGAGCTTCAAGAGGAAGTTGATAGGCACATGGAAGTGCTGGGATGGGTGTGAAAGGGATCTGCCCTGTATGGGCCAGTCGGCCTCCTGCAGTATCCCACTTTCTTATGTTCTTATGTATGCATTTGGACTTTATTTGAGTTATTCACCATTGACAAATATGATGGGCACAGCCATATCACTGCACAAACAAAGTATGGAAGTTTAGGAGTAGAATGGCACTCCAATTAACATTGGACTACACTTCAAGAACGTGTGGATAGATGGAGAAAAAGTGAGGAAATACAAAAAAATAAAAATGATGAAAGCAAGTTACTGATAAAGTGGGATAAATGTATGAGAGAATAATCAATAGTTGATACTTTGGAAAGTAAACAAAAAATAAATAATATAAAAATTGTCACAAAAATGATACACTACTTACCGGTACATCTAAAGCAGGGGTCACCAAACTTTTTTCACAGTGGGCCGGATAACTGAAAGAATGACGAGCGCGGGCCGCATAATCATTCTGTTCAATACTTGCAAGCCAGAACGAAAGCTCTGGTAACGTCAGAGCGTAGGCGGAGCTACCACGAACCGGGGAAGGACTTGGGATCCGGCCCGCGGGCAGTAGTTTGGTGACCCCTGATCTAAAGTATTGATCAGCCATATGTACTCCTGAGAGAAGGATGAGGTTTTGCAGATGGAAATAACAGGTCTGCTACTTACCTCCAAATCACTGATAAGCCAGGCATACTGCCGAGAGAGAGGCTTTATTCCATACTCAAGGAAGTAGTAAGCCTCAGTGTTGACAGAAATAAAATGTACTGGACCCATATTCCAGCTGAAAAACAAACTCTCTGTGTCTTGATAGTTGGGCATGCTGAACCTTGCTCGGTAGTTGCTGAAGTTGCTGTATGGGAAGAGTAAGATAAACAATGATTTTTATTGTACTAATTTGTACTGGGTGTAGGAACAGACATACATTTTATACTTAGCTATAGGTATATGACCCTACAGAGGAAAGGGAAGTAATATTCCCTTTAGTGAATAAAATGGGTGTTCTGGTGAGGCTTATACAGTATAAACAAGTTTCCTTCACTTATGAATATGGTATAAATGATGATAGGTTCCCCCCACTTACCCCCTCTTCTTGTTCAACGTGAAGAAATGCTCTGCAAGTTATATAATCAGGAGAGCAAAGAAACTGGCATTTATATAGCCTTCAGGTTTCTTAGAAAATTGGATATGAAGGGAAAGTGTAAACTAATTTCTTGATTAGTTCCAGTATGGTGTGTCCTGGGATCCTAGAATTTTCAACCCATAGACTTACTGACTTTACAGTACATGAATCACCCAAGCCAGGCAGCATACAGTTGTAAAACAGCAAATCAATTGTGACTACAATAATTCATGAAGAATCCCATTTTTATTTTTTTTATTTTTTTATTTTTTTAACAAAGAATTTCTCTCAGTTATCACAAGTTTACCACTGGGTTTAATTATGGTCAATTAAGGGGTTACAAAACAAATTATAGTTAATAAGACTTACTATTTCTGTTCATGGTTACCCGGGCAGGTCATGTATGGCACATAGGCAGCAATTGGTTGAATCTGTCGCATGAACTCGTCTCCAACTTCAGCATTGTTCTGGTTTAAGAGAGAGAGAGAGAGATTTAAGAGAATATATACATTTAACAATCTGCAGCAGCAATATTTGAGTAACACAACATCTGTTTAATCAACTACAGTACTGTACATACTGTAATCTACTGGACAGTACAAATTGTCCCACTCTAAAAAAGCAAGTCTTGGACCATCCAAAATTGTTACACTATTCTATTCTTTTTTATTTTCCTCAACAAAGTCTGGCCTCAATGATTACATCTATCTGTGAAGAAGCCTTATTTAAAAAAATAAAAAATAAATAAAAAATTGACCAATCGTTAAACATGAAAGGGTGTTAAAAATTTTATATTGTTAAACTGAAATATCGCTAAGTGAATACACATTAAATGAGGGATACCTGTACTAGTATACTGTATGTTAAATACAATGACAATCTATGAAACAGACCAAAAATCTTAGCTTAAGACCACAGATTTCACTTTCAGACATTCCCCATGTATACAGTCCATTCTTAATCAATTACTGTATCACACTAAATTCTTTAGAAAATCAGCTAGTCACAGTCAACTGAATGAAGTGTCACATTAAAAGAGAAGATAAAGAATTGCAGTTTTTTCCCATTAACAATTCTGTTCACTGGCCTTGACAGACAGGAGAAAACAATCTGGTGGTGAATTAAATAGTGAAACTTCAAAACTTATTCCCCCCCCCCCCCTTTATATGCTTACTGAAGGCCACCCTTATTCTTTCTTATATAACAGGTAAGTAAATGGTGGTCAAGTTTATAGATTATATGGAGTTTTGGACATTGTCAGAGTAGAAGGTCAACAATCAGCATGTCCTGGCCAATACAGCAGTACTGTATTCTGCATGTGTCATATGTGATATAAGCAAATAGCAAACCAGCAATTACAGTATATATTTGAATACTTAAGATAGATAACCAGAACACTTACAGAATCCATGAATGTACTGTACAATACATAACTAGATAAATATATTTACACTTACTGAATCCATGTCATAAGCAAAGTCCCCAACATGGATCACAGCATCATACATTCCCCTCTGAGTGTCCTCCTGCAGCCTGAAAGTATTATACAGAAACACATATCAGTCAGACAACATCATCAAGTCATTCTGCTTCAACCAACTTACATGATGAAGGAACTGTTATTAGTAACAAACATCAAGAGTGTGACACTTAAAAGTAGACACAAAATCTAAATTTATTCTGTTTAAGTAGAAAGGAAAATCAATTCACCCTTAGATATCAAAGAGGATTACTTATATGGATGATGCTGTGAATTATTATAACAAGGTATGCCTAATGGAAGAGACATTATTAGATTAATCCTACAATGATGATACTATAATGTCAACATAGGAGTTCATTATACACTAAAATAAATACTGTATATGTGCAGCCATATTTTGCTATGTACTGGAAACTCAGAACACTGCACTGTACTGTATACTCATCATATTAATATAACTCATAAGGTCATTACAGATTATTAACAGTACTGTATACGAGTATGTGATGGACTGTTTATATCCCGAGACAAGATAGAGTACAGTACTAAGTTCATGAACTTTGTCCATTTTATCAGTTATTAGTCAGACAGTTATACAGGTCTCCTTGTATTCCTGGAGTCAGTGGGTTTGGTCTTGGGTATATATTTATCAATCAACTAATTCACTTTACTGTCTATGATATTCAGGGCAGCATGCACATTCTTATTTCTCAATGAGTCAGGCCAGTGAACACCTTTATTTCCTCCCTTATCCTGTTATAATTTCCATTGTAATATTTGAACCTTGGCCTGTTCTCATCATTTACCAAGTATGGTAACAGTTAATCTGTAGGACATCATATGGTGGCTAGTGTCAATGGGGGTAAGAGTTCTAACTTGCCACCAAACCCTCCTCATTAGTCATGATGAGATCCAGTGAGTCGGATAACTACAGTACATACTGTACGTACATTCTTTCCTAAACATCACAGCTTGAGGATGTCACAATACTTTTCACTCTCCATTTATATTAACCTAAAAGACAAGACTCGTGCTTTTTAGAAACAAATAATACAGTAGTAAAATAAATAAATAATAACAGTATATAATTCAATTTACACCATTATTTTATTCATACAGTATTTACATGCCTCTGTGTCACTTACCATGCCTCTGTGTCACCTACCATGCATCTGTGTCACCTACCATGCATCTGTGTCACCTACCATGCCTCTGTGTCACCTACCATGCCTCTGTGTCACCTATCATGCCTCTGTGTCACCTATCATGCCTCTGTGTCACCTACCATGCCTCTGTGTCACCCACCATGCCTCTGTCACCCAACATGCCTCCTGTGTCACCACCATGCCTGTGTCACCCACCATGCCTCTGTCACCCACCATGCCCCTGTGTCACCCACCATGCCTCTGTCACCCACCATGCCTCTGTCACCCACCATGCATCTGTGTCACCACCATGCCTCTGTCACCTACCATGCATGCAGTCATGTGTCACCACCATGCCTCTGTCACCCTGCCCCCTGTGTCACCCACCATGCCTCTGTCACCTACCATACCATGCCTCTGTGTCACCCTACCATGCCTCTGTGTCACCTACCATGCCTCTGTGTCACCTACCATCACCCACCATACCTCTGTGTCACCTACCATGCCCTGTGTCACCACCCATGCCTCTGTGTCATACCATACCCTCTGTGTCACCCACCATGCCTCTGTGTCACCCATCATGCCTCTGTGTCACCCACCATGCCCTGTGTCACCCTACCATGCCTCTGTGTCACCTACCATGCCTCTGTGTCACCCTACCATGCCTCTGTGTCACCTACCATGCCTCTGTGTCATGCCCTCACCCATGCCTCTGTGTCACCTACCATGCCTCTGTGTCACCTACCATGCCTCTGTGTCACCTACCATGCCTCTGTGTCACCTACCATGCCTCTGTGTCACCTACCATGCCTCTGTGTCACCTACGATGCATCTGTGTCACCTACTATCATGCTTCATTCATTCTTTGCCTGCAGTGCTGGTAAGTTTTACTTTTTTTGCAATTAGTAATTAGATGTACTGTACAGTGCACACATACATGGGTTGATAATTTTTTATTGTTGTATTTTTGTAGGAGGGGGAGAAGTGCCTCGATAAGTTGGAATTTGGGATAACTCGGCAAGGCCAGAGGCCCATATGTGCTGAGTTATCAAGGGTTTACTGTACATATATCATTTCTCACTCTTGATTTTTTTTTTTAGGGCACATTATCATTATTTTTTTAAAGAATTTTTATTAATTTGTATTTATTTTATTTTTATTATCATCATTATTATTATTATTATTTTATTATATTTTTGCCCCCCCAAGCCTTGATATGGGTCATTATAAAATGACCTGTGCCCGGGTGGGCTATTGCCCGTAAAAAAAAAGGGGGGGGGGGGCATGCAAAGGTTCCTGAATGTACTGTAGCTGCACATTGGTCAAGTCTGGTCTTGAATGAGTGTACACTTGGTGCCATCACAAATCACAACACTCTTTGGTAGATTGTTTCGAGAGTTCACAATTCTCACTCCGAAAAAGTTTGTCCTTACAGTTTTCTGGACTTGTGGCTTCTTCAACCTTGAGCTGTGACCCCTTGTGGGGCAGGTGTCAGCCAGCTCCAGGTATGAACACTGGTCTGCATAGTGCCCTCTGAGATGTTTATAAACTTCATTTATGTCACCCCTTGCTCATCTATAGAAGCGTTCAAATATCTCTGGTTAACTGCTGGCCCTCCTTTGGACATTTTCAATCAACTGAGAGTCTCTAGCATATCTTGGGGACCAGACAGGTTGACAGTAATCCAAACAGGGAAGCGCCTAACTCTCTGAAGACCGTTATGAGGGACAAACCTTCTAGATATCTGAATGACCTTATAAGACCTACTAGTTTAGTTGCTTGATTCTCCTTTTTCTCACAATGGCCCGAGAACTTCAGTTCGTTGTCAATGTACCCAGGTCCTTTTCACATTTAGTCTCTATTAATGCAGTTTCTTCATCCCATTAGGACATGTGGTATGCCTCCTTACTGTTGGTATGACCTAGGTGCATCCTCTTACATTTCATTACATTAAATCTTATCAGCCATTTGTTCAACCATCTTGAAGCTGACAGAGACCTTTCTGTAGCTCTTCACAGTCTGTTTGATTCTTAATTCCCTGAATAACTTGGCATCGTCTACAAACATTTGAAGGGAGGAGTGTATAGCTTCTGGCATGTCATTTATGAAACAAACAAACAACAACGGGACCAACACACTGCACTGTGGTACCCCGCTTATCACGGGTACACAAGATGATTTTGTGCCATTAATAACCACACACTGCTTGCGGTCATGAAAAAAGTCTCCAATCCACGCTAGGACACTTACCCCGAATCCTGTACTCTTCCAGTTTAATTCTCAAATTATTTCACAAAATACTACAGACAAACCTGGAAAGTGACTGTGGATTGACTGCACCCATGTCCCCATACATGGCAACAGAGACTGGCCAGTCAGTACCATTCTTCCAGGTTTTGAATAAAAAAACCTCAGACCAGCCAAGAGTACTTCCACAGTGATACCCTGTAATTACATAATTATATTATAAATAAAATGTGGTAAATGCCAATTATAGAAGCAATATTATTTAATTCAAGGAATGAAAAAAATTTTTTTTAGATTTCAAGAACAAAAAACAAATGCTGAAATAATATAAGTTATGTATAATAGATGAAATGTACTGTAATTATAAAATTGTCTTTAGAACATTTACATTTATGGAGAATCACAAGGAGTGAGGTTGAAGCAAAATGAAAAATGTAGTAAACAAAATTTTTTTTTTACTTCAGTACAATCTATTCATAACACACATCCTCATATAAACTTGTAGTACATAAAGTCGAAAATAATGTTGATAATACCTAGCAATTTATTTTCAATTACAAGGAAGGAAGCTCTACATTTTACTTCTAAGAATTCCACATATTTCCTAACGATTAATCATTATATACAGTGGGGTATACTATAACGAACGTAATTGGTTCCAGAACCTCGTTCGTTATAGCATTCGTTCGTTATAGGATTAATCCGTTCCAGGCCCCCAAATACAACCGCTTAACACTGAAAAAATTCTGTGGAAAATGTAAAAAATACGGTACTTTATCTTACCTTAGTGTTATTCAGCATGCAGGTACCCCTAAACACTGGCACATCACTATCACTTCCACTGGGAGTCTTGGCTTTAAGGTCCTCAAACAATTGTTTAGCCTTCTCACAAATTATAGCTTCACTAATGTTACCACCTGCCATTTCTTTCTCCTTTATCCACACTAAGAGTAAATTTTCCATCTCTTCGATCACATTACACCTTGCTTTGCTAAGTCTAAAGATTCCCTTAGCCACTTGCACAGTTTTTAACTCCTCTTTATTCTTCAAAATCGTACATATAGTCGATTTAGCCATCCCATATTCATCACTAAGTTTCGCAATGCTTGTTCCATCCTCACGTTTCTTTATAATTTCTTTCTTAGTTTCAAGGGTTATTAGCTTTCTCACTCGCTTTGGACGACTCATTGTTACAATTGTATACTTGTATAACAAAATAGTTATACAAATAACGCGAATTTTCACATCAAAAGACGAAATTTCAACAATAACAGTGGTGCACTGGCTACACAATGAGACAAAGATGGCGCCTGATGCTCTTGTTGTGGGTCGCGGGACAACAATATTCATGCGCCAGGCGAAATAGTCCCGTATTCATCCGCGTTCGTTGTAGGAGTTGCGTTCGTTATAGCATTCTCAATTTTATAGGTAAAACCGTTCGTTATAGGAATATTCGTAGTAGGATCCGTTCGTTATAGCATACCCCACTGTACACATGATTACGGTATTATGTACTGTATTGTACTATAAACTCACGGTGGTTCTCACTTTTAAATATTCATGACTAGCACATTAAGTACTTGGTGGGAAAATATTACCAGCCACACACACACTTAAGACATTCTCACCAGACAAGGTAGTCAGATAAGAATACGGTCAGTTCTGCTATAACGCGATAGTTGTGTTCTTGTAAAACATCGTGTTATAGAAATTCGCGTAATAGAAATAACAGGGGTTATGGAGAAAATAGGGTTAGGTGCAGATTACTACTCGAAATCGAAAAAAATTTAGTAGTTAGCCTAACACAAAGGATAGCACAGTCTAAATAAATGTTACATTCATATCTAATAATGAAATCATACAGTAAATGTAACACTTTACCTTAAAAAAATATGAATATAACTTGATGGGGGAGAAGGGTGATTTTGAGGTAGATAACATCGAGCTTCTCTTCAAGGGTTATAGCCTTTCTTTTATGATCATCACCGGGAATGCGATCACCAGAACGCTTCTTGGAGATATTCTTCTTTACCATATTCACAGTTAATACCACAAAATTGGAGAAATAGTAAGCAAAAATCGCGTTACAGCAAACAGGCGTTCGCGTTATACAAATATCGTTCCTCTATTCATAAATCGCGTTAGAGCCAATTCGCGTTGTCAAAACACGCGTTATAGCAGAACTCACTGTACTGAACTTTATGTTGTATTCAAAGTACAGTATTGCTATCTTTTATTTACACTACGACCTGGGAAAGACCATCTGGTCACCAGCCTGTCACACTCAAGTTGTATCCCAGAGCAAAGAAAAACTAGTATCATACAGTACTAATAGGGACTGATATACAAACATCCCTGAAGCTGTTCTCATCACGATTACTTCATACGAGAGTGTACCAGTATTTGTCTTGGTCAGGGTTATCATACGTCATTCTGTACCACATAAATTTGTCAGTTGTTTGATTCTCTCTTGGTCTCAATTTTATCCCATGAATGTACAGTATACTGTACCTGTATTTCATCCGAGGTTATCTTGTGTTTTTAAATGCTGTGCCTCTGATAATTTAGCACTACATATGGTGTTTTGGTAAAGCCACACAGTTCTCAGTGTTAGAATTCAACTAAAATCTACCAATAGTTTATTTTAGGTTACAATTGTTGCTTACAGTTTGCTACTGATTCCAAGTGAAAGTCCACTTGAGGACCACCAACACTCTAACTGTCATGGCAACATCTGATTTGACTGTGAGTAAACTAATCTGTACCCTCAACAAGTTTGTTACTCCTGACCACCAACAGTCTGGTCTGGAATTAAGAGGGAATTCTCTGGTATGCTGTACATATATGATCTTCTATTGTAGACATCATTTGTGGACCTCACCAAGATTTCTGCTTTAGGATTTAACTGGTATGCATATACAGGTATCTCTTGTTTAATGATGGGGATGCATTCCTGAGAAAACTAACATTAAGCAAAATTATTGATAAATGAGATGGCATATGACATGTAATGAAACTATGAAAGTTGTGGAATAATCATTACAATGCAGTACTCCAATGTGACTTAGAAATAAAGAAAATACGATATAATATAAAACTATAAAATACCAAAAATTATGAGCATGGGTGCATATGTGTGGCCTTGTGGAGACAGTTGACTGTAACTGTGTTGCTAACTTGCCACCCATTAGCACTCAGAGCAGGTGAGGCCGAGCTGTGATCTATGTTATGGTTATTTTTCAACTCGTAATTTTGGGTAGATATACTGCACTATACAGTATGTAATTTCTTCTTTCTTTCTTTTTTTTAACTTAATTACATGCACACACACAATTGCTTATACAGAATGTGCAAAAAAAAAATAATAATAATAATTACATTATAGCAATTATCACAAGCTCAATAACATAAAGGGAATAAACATTTCTTATGAGCACAGGAGTTAGCACACAGATCACAGGAGGGGAAAGGGGAACAGGAAGTGGCATGGGGGGAGTGGCATGGGGGAAGCAGAGTGGGGAATCTTAGCTGTTCACTGTCTCCTGTGTCCCGTGTACTGTACAGGTATAGTGAACTGTGTCCCGTCTATGGTGAAATGATTGCCAAATGGCAATGCAATATATTTTTTTTTTATTCCTCACATTTACTGGAACAGTATACACACGACACAGTTCAGCCGGACAGTCACTCAACTGACTCAAAGAGACGTGTGGCTGTATGCCATGACGTCATGTAGGGGAGAGGGAGAGTGCAGCTGGCTGCAGTTACAGCTCACTGCCTCAATACTGTACATACATTCACTTCCTGCAGATACACACCCATGCTCTTCATTTTTCTTATTTTAATGTTTAATAGTATTTTTTTTTTTTTTTCTAAGCCACACTAAAGAAGTGCAGTGATTTTTCCATAACTTTTATAGTTTCATTACATGTAACAAAGGCAACATGCCATCTCACAGGCCACTTTATCTCCAGTTGTCCCCACCATCAGTGAGTCAAGCTATCACTAAACAAAGTTTTGACCTGACATTAAACAAGAAAAAAGGGTGTTAAAGATTTTATATCGCTAAACCAAATTATCGTGAATTAACGCTAAATGAGGGATACCTGTAATATTTTTTGTTAAGGGGATATCATACACCATTTTTTTATCTATACAAGTATAAGTGATATTGGATTGGATAGTTCAATGTGAGCATTTTGGCTGTTTGGCCTTTTGCAAAGAGTAGAGCTTCCACATGAAAATTACATCCAACATCTTAAGAATAAAATAAACATATTAATCTTGGAGATTCCTGAACCAGATTTTTTTTTTTTTAAGGGGAATAGCCCACCCAGCACAGGTCATCGACCCACAACAGGGCCTGGGGGAGAGTAAAAAGAAATTAAAAGGTATAAGAGAAAAAGACTACGGTACATTAATCTATGCCACAAAGATGACAGAAAACCATCTTTTTGGAGTGAGACAGATTGTAAGAGTATGGAAACACAAAAGACAGAGCATTCCACAGTTTGGCCATGTGAGGAAAGAAAGATGTACTATAACGGGTTATTCTAATGTGACCGACATCCACACAGAAAAGGTGGTCACCACGGGCAAGACAAGTGCTACATGCCCACTGCCTTGCCTGCGGTACACAGGATGCCAAATCCACTAAACTTCAACAAGGAGGATCGCACACGTGCTTTCATGTGACTGTTTCTCAGCCTGTGGCCATTCAGCCAATACAGTACTTGCACCTATTATTATCATCCATCTGGGATAAGAGCATCATGTATCAACTAAAAGCATACAGATGCTGTACTATTATGTAACATGTACAAAACATACACTGCACACCTGTAATTAGATACTGTACAATTTTACTTACAGTATACAGTATCTGGCAGAAGATCCTTCAGGGTCACTCTATGTATCCACATTTGACGGTGTTCATCCCCTCCATCAGTAAAAATTACACTGCTGCCCTGTGTTGAGGTGGTGAGGTCTTGTGTCCCAAATTCAACAACAGATGCCGGTGTTTCATTTGGTGTTGTCCAGGTGACCACTATATCTTGGCTTGTTTCTTTATTAAAGGATAAATACATTGCAAAGTCAGGGGATATATATACAATGCACTAGTGCAGTAGCTATATCAAACAACAAACACTAAATCTTATCAATATCATGCAATACAGGTGTTGGCCATTATATGATGCACCTAATATATGATCAATCAGGTTTATGATGCTAAAAAATTAACACTTTATCATTATGTGTTGGCTAAGATCAGTTTTATGATGGTTGCGACCTCCAATGTTTGTTTACAAAACCTAATGGATACTGTACAGTCTCACAAAATTATTTTATAAGATAGTTTTATTAATTTCCTTATTTAAATTATTGTGTATAATAAATTGATGCGTGACAATGACACCCAGTTGTCACTACTATACACGTACATATCAAGTAAAGTACAAATACAGTAAATGAAAATACAGTACAGGTATACTGTAAATCTATAATTTGCATAAATTTTCTATTTTTGTCTATAGTATTTTGTATAAATTTATTGTTTTTATGACTTTTTTTCTATTTGTCATATTTTTATTGTTTTTATGTCTACTGTATTTATAAATCATTTGAGTTATTTAGACATTATTCAATCATCATAGCAGCAGGATATAAAACTTGTTTGGGCTCTTCAAGGTCTCAGGAATAGAATCTAATTTTTCCCTGTAAGTTAATACAGCGTAATATCAATAATGTATATGATCATCACTTTACGATGGCTTTTTGAGATCCCTAGCCCTATTGTATACCGGTCAACACCTGTACATCATTTTCATAGAGTATACAGTATTATTATATCTTTCAGCAGGAATAAAATACCAAAATATAATGTACAGTATAGGGAATTTTCAGATTTAAGCAAAACAGTTTTTTTTACCTCCTATGGCAATGTGAATTTGCTGAGGTTGAAAATCGTCTGTTGTTAATTTGTTATTATCAATTAAAAATGGCACAGAACCCAGTGCACAGCTGACCAGGGCTAGGACAACCCAGATGAGCCCCACCACCTTCATGTTTCCGAAGACTGTACCTGTAAATAAAGCAACAATTACTGAATAAGAATTACGTTTCCCATTACCTGTGCGTACTATATTTAATGTGGTTTGTCTTGTTTATTTGGAAATTTAAAAAAAAATTATTTCTATACGGTACAGTACTGTACAGACATATTAATATTGTAAAGTACAGTATACCATAACCTAGGTTTTAATACTGTACGTTGCATAGCACCTAATACTGTACTGTACCATATACAGTACCTTGTACACCAGCCTGATATATAACTCCAAAACTATTGACTAACAGGAGGTTTGGAGCCAACTAGCAGAAAATGTGCAAGTCAAGTCAATAGGCCTCACCAAAATCTAAATTATATTGTTATCCTTTGATAAGAGTTAAGAGATATGTAGAGAGGGATAGTGAAATTGAACATAAAAATTAATGCCATAAAATAAAGAAAAATAATTTGTAATTATATTTGTACTAATCATGCCATCAGTGTTTCCATGGAGTTACCCCTATACAGTACTGTACTACTGTACTGTACTTAGATGAGCAAAGCAGTTCTCTCCTGTGGTAGACATTACATCTTATCACAAGTGGGGGTGATAATGTTAATCTGAAGATACAGTATTGTTCATATTATGATTATTCCCCCTGTACTGGGTACAGGGTAGGTGTAATTAATGGAGATCACATATTTGGGGTATATAATACTGTATAGGGGAAAGGAATATATATTATTCATTTAGAATTATATATTTCACAATCTGACAACCAAGACGTTTCTGTCAAGCAAAGTACCGTACCTCATTAGAAATCAAATTTTCACCCTTCGTTATATTCTTATGACTTCTAAAACTTCCTTGGTGTTAATTTCTAAGCTTCATTTTTTAAAGGTATTTGTTTAGTGCATTAAGATATTACTGTACTTTCCGCTATTTGTCAACCACAGATTTATCTTATTTCAGGGGCGGATTCAAGATGGGGACCTAGGGGTTCGGAACCCCCCCCCGTTCATCAGAAAATTCGAGTACTTTTTTTCTAATGCAGTATTTTATTCAGGTGTTTTTGTATAATAAAGTGATTACAATTGACTTCAGAATACTCGGTACATCCTAATATCAAGTGTACACAGGCTCAAAATGTCCATTATATTGGTCATTTTTCAAACAAATTCTGGGGGGAGCAGGGGGGGGGGGGGGCTCACAGTGCCCCTTTTTAAAAACCCCTATCTGGGTGGGCCTGCTGTGCTCACCATGTTGCCCACCCACAATTTCTCACCCCCACCCCCTTTGATATTCCTGGATCTGTCCCTGGGTTGTTGTAACCTATGTGTAGGGTTTTGCATTTCGGAATGTTAAAGAGCATTTACCAAGCTGGAGACCATTTGAGCAGCACATGCAAGTACTTCTGCATTGGTGAGACATCATTTTGACTAGCTACCTTCCCAAATATCTTTATGTCGTCCACAAACTTGATAAAGTGGTTTTATATATTTGCATCTATGTCGTTTATGTATGGTAGATCTCAAACAAGCTGGGTCCAAAGATAGAGGTTTGTGGTACTCAATTGAGAAGCTTATTCCATTCAAAATGTATTCTATTTATTACCACTCTTTGTTGCCTGTCTTGGATCCAGTTCTTAATCCACGTCAAAATCTTGCATATAATGCCATGTGCCTGGATCTTAGAGGCTAGTCGTGCATGTGAGACTTTGTCAAACGCCTTGCAAAAATCATGTCTTGGATCCAGTTCTTAATCCATGTCAAAATCTTGCACATGATGCCATGTGCTTGGATCTTAGAGGCTAGTCGTGCACGCGGGACTTTGTCAAACGTCTTGCAGAAATTCATTTACAACACATCCACTGGTAAACCTTGATCCAAGTAATCTGTTACCATTTCAAGGAACATGAATAAGTTTGTCAAGTAGGATTTTCTTTCCATGAAATCATGTTGTGATGCAGTGATAAAACTGTGTTTGGTCAAGTGTTGGATGATGGCATTCCTCAGAATTTTTTCAAAGGTTTGCATATATGTGATGTTATGCTAATTAGCCTGTAGGTTTCTGCTGCACTTTCCCTACCCTTCTTGTATTCTGGGGTGATGTTGGCTAATTTCCAGTCCTTTGGATTTTTACCTTTACCTTGATCCACCTCCTTTATCACCTTGGTCTGTGCTCCATCCACTCCAGGGGCTTTGAATTATTTCAAGTTGGCTACTTTCCTTTTAATGATGTACTGTAATCTGTAATTGCTCTCTCTCTCTTAATTTATTTTCCACCCCCCGAGGTATACATTCTCTTAGGTACTGGCATGTTATCCATCGTTCCTTGTGTGAATACTGATGTAAAGTATTTATTTAAGTTACTGTATCAACTGTTTGTCTGTCATCCCCTAGGGCCAAGACATTTTCACCCTTTAGATGGCAAATAGTATAATGTACTTGGATTTAATTTTACTCCTGGCATATGCATAAAAGATGGTTGGCATTATATGTTGGAAATTGTTATGATTGTTGTTAAAGCAGAATGTATAGTTGACCATGTCTTATGGTCACATTAGTCTATTATTAGATGTTATCAACACCTCACTGGTGGGAGCTAACAGATGCTCTTGGTTACATCAGTCCATCCTGACTGTTCTTGGAGCTCCACAAAGCTAATAGGAGCTAACATGCGGCCTGTGTCACAACACATCAGTGTTTAACGCACATCAAATAGCATATGACTCTTCATGTCATCCCATAACAGCACACACCACAACCAACCAATACGGAAGTAGGGCTAACCCTAGTAAAAACAAGAGGTGGACTGAAATACTTTTTCTGTGAGACATAGGTCAGTGTTGGTACTGTACTATATTGTATGGTTAGCCCATTACTGTTACTTCACCGAGAGGGGCTGGAACAATGTAAACAATCATAATGAAAAATACTGTATATAAAGGCAGAGATATGTTCTCACCTCAGTGATAACACCTAAAACTGTGGAAAAGTTACTAATTACCCCTTAAAGTGTCATAACTATAAGGGAAGACACTTAGCCCATCTTTAAAGATCAGAGCTGGAGTGACCATGTCTGTTCATAATACAGAACAGCTGTAAAGTCAAGATGTAAGGAGCCAGTACATGCTCAGTACTTGTCAATAGTGTACAGCATAAAAGAGACATGACCTACCACCCAAGCGGCTAATGAGCTGATCAGTGGCGAATAGGATTAAAGTAAATAGCTTAGGGAAACCTCCAGTACTCAAAGTGTTACATCAGCACCGCTTTTGTATGATTTATGATTCAAACTTCTTTTGTATATGTAGACGATGGTCAAACATTATGTCTCATGGGCCACAGGTTGCCCACCATTGCTATACAGTACAATATACTCTAACTCACGTGAAGACCAGTACAGTACAGTACTGTACTGTATACTCATCACTCACCACCATACACAGTCACTAAGCCAGTTATCTCATTATCCAATGTCTCTTCATTTATTTTCATGTTCCACAATTGTGGAAAATTATGTAAAAGAAAATTGTTCTAGAATTTTAAATTTGTACAGTACTGTATCTACAGTAGATTTTTGGCTGACAGATACTTTATTGTAACATTATTCCATAACCTTTCACCTCAAATTTTTTTTACATGCTACTTGAAGGACTGTTCACATGGTATACTATAGACATAATTGAGGTACTGTATAAGGATTGGAAGAAATGTGAAATTACAATAGGATTATTCATGCAGGGTATTGGAATCTTTATTTGAGTACATTGGCACTTTAGTCAATTTTAATTGTTTTTAGCAACTTTATTTAGTTTACACATTGTTGGCCATCCCAAAATTTGACAGTAGGAAATGTTACAATGTAATTCTGCCCAGCTGCAAATGTGAAAAACTCTAATTACATGATTACTGTGCATGTGAGATAAACCAACAAACCCACCTGTTCTTTCTATCCTACGATAGAGGCATATTAATCTAGGTTACATTACTGTAATTAGGTTTATATTTAATTTCATATGAAAAGATCTCTGAGAACTGTTTTGTAACTTAGCATTCAGTCTGTCACTGGGAAACATTTGTTAACAGTTAAAGTACAATCATAGTGTCATCAGGTGGACGGGGAAGGAGCATCTTTAATTACAAGAAAAATTATGGATTAGACAAAAACACAATGTACAATTCTTCCTCCTGACTGGTTTATTCTTGAGTGGTTAACCTGGGCCCCTACCTCTCCTTTAGTGTTACAGTACCAAGAAAATCTCCCCAAATAACAATGACTTACAATTTTTGTAATAGTACAGTATTAGTCTGACAAGTTTATCCTGTACATCATATGTTTTATCTGAGATAAGATGAACCAACCTAAGCTAACAACCATACTTTAGGTTAGGTAGATTAAATTAGATCATCCTAAGTGATCTAGGTTAGGTTAGTTAGGCTAGGTTGGTTAATTTTCTCTTGCAAATCATACAATGCAGCAGTGGCTGGCATCTTTATCCTGTGCATAAAGCATTTAACATGACATCCTTGGGTGGAGACAGGTATTTACCATGTTGGAAACACTGCTCCTTGTCTGATCAGCGAAATAAGCAACGTTGGGTCTGGTTAGTACTTGGATGGGTGACCGTCTGGCCCTAAGAACACTAGATGCTGCTGGCATAAGGACTCTACTGGAGACAAGCTTTTTATGGGTTACTGTCCTTGTTCAAATTGAATGAATATCAATTATTATTACTGTATTACTGTATAACAAGAACTGGGTAAAAACAAATTTATGAAAATTGCAATTCCTCCACAGGTATTGTTTTAGTTTTAGTCATCCGGGGAATCTTAAGAGGGGTCTCGGGGGATGAAGCCTCCCCCCATTTAAGTTAGATATAGTTCCTGGGTTCTGTGGCTAGGTTAGTTTGGTTAGGTTACATATCCAACTAAATACTAGGATGACCGAAACTAAAATTTTACCCCTCCACCTGTTTGGGAATGTTCATAAGGTATGAAAAAAATTTCTCTAGATTTTTTTCTGAAGTAGCTCATTAACTTTTTATTGAGTAGTGTCACACTTAGGTGTTTTATTCTGGCTAATGCCAATGATTTTATTCAACTGAGAGAAACCCCTGTAATGGAGTCCTCCCCTACAAACGCCGTGTGTCGCTGACTGGCCGACCCCCCGCGAATCTACCGGCGTATCCCTCGTGGTCAAGGTCAGGTAACCAGCGACGCCGAACAAAGCGGGGGCCTTCCATCAAGCCACGCCTACCGCGGTTATATAAGACCTCACCTGGCCTTCATCGCTCTCTCTCTACTTACCGCCACCAGCAAGCAACATCTCTCAACAGCTCCATACACACGCTCCCTCAGAAAACTCCTCGCCCTACAGGAACTCTGAGCAAGCTTCGCCCGACTTAGTATCTCTTTAACACTGTGCTGTGCAACAATATATATACGAGAAACACTGTGATTTTCTATTTCTACCTCAATCCTGAGTGTTGGATATATTTCATGTACGTAAGTTGTGAGGCCAAATAAGAGACCCTGACAACCTGCCACGACAGTACGCTACACCCCTACCACCCAGTGGGTTAATGCGGGACAATGTCCTAGACTCTAGGACATTGTTCTAAAGTAATACTGAAGTAAGCCCAGATATACAGTAGTACAGCAGTTCTGATCTGATAAGGTACAGCAAGAAGTAAAACCTATTTGGCAGTACAAAGTATTTAGTATTTCATTACTATTAAAATGAGACATTTCTGAGATCATTCCCACTTGAATCTTACATAATTCAATGACAATTTTTATTTAAGCACCAGAACATGCTTAGATAATGACCTATTAGTTTCAAAGACCTAATTATCATAAGTTGTTAGGATTGTTGGGTGTATATCCTCTGTTCCTCACCTGATTATGGCTAAAAAATATAGTATAATCCTGCAAAATTTCATGTCAGAAAAGCCTTTTAATGGCTTTTTTTCTGCAATCCTGATTGAACTGCTGGTAACTATTTGGTAGTGACTATGCATGGAACTCATATTTATTTGTAACTATACAGGAAGAAAGAGAAAAAATTTCTCTTTAGCATTTTTGTCAGGAATTGATTTATTTATATGTGTTCTTTTATTTTACTTGAAATATACCAGTACAATTTTAATCAAACAAAGTGCACGGGCCTTTGAAGTAGAGGGAAACTGTGGGATAAAAACATGGAAAAAACTGATGAAACCAAACCGAACTTAACCTTACTATTACAGAAAACTTTACAAGGGTTATTATTTCAGAACAAGTGTCCGAGTTCAGAAGCTGAGTTGGGAACTTTTTAACAGAAGAAAAGTTCTTTGGTTTATCAAGAACATCCCAAAAATGATGGAGGAAATTGGGGGAGGTGGGGGGGGCAAACAAATAGATTAATCTTAACCTAATGACTCAAATATCAGTACACATGTCTAACACAAACTACGAGTGTCCTAAAAAAAAAAAAAGTAAAACTGCAACGTTTTTATAAGTGTTTACTATGCTAAATCGCAGGCGGGTCAGCGGTCCGACTAATTACCCAAATGTACCCAAATATAGCCGCAATGAAGTCAAATAATGGTCCTACATGAATAAATCGGACTGCTAATCACTTTTCGACTAGTATTTGGTGTCAGAGTCACAAAAAATTGGTAAACTTAATTTAATCTAAGTTGTGTTAGGTTAGGTTTGATTAGGTTAGGTTAGGTACATGCACTTGATCTATTAACTCAGATTAAATTAAGTTTACCAATTTTTTGTGACTTTCTGACACCAAATACTAGTCGAGGTTAGGTTAGGTTAGGTTAGGTTAGGTGCATGCACTCGATCTATTAACTCAGATTAAATTAAGTTTACCAATTTTTTGTGACTTTCTGACACCAAATACTAGTCGAGAAGTGATTGGCAGTCCGATTTATTCATCTAGGACCCTTATTTGACTTCATTCCGGCTATATTTGGCTACATTTGGGTAATTAGTCGGACCCGCGGGTCAGTATCAGTAATTCTCCACTCCAGAATGACTCTGTACCTGCGCCAGTGTTGGTCAAGTCTGGGTCTTGAAAGAGCTCACACTCTGTGCCGTCACAACACTGGCAAATTGTTCCAAGAGTTTACAACTAATTCCGTAAAAGTTTGACTTCACAATTTTCTGAACTTGTGCCTTTTCTACATAATAAGCGCTACCCTTCGACTGAAATTTTAAATTCACGCCAGGACTGAAAAAACACTTACGTTGAAATAGTTGTAGTGATGGAAGTGACGTGGCAGAATAACTAGCATGTGACAATGACAAGACTACAGCACAGACTGAGGCGACCTGTCAAGAGCGTCCACGTGGTGCCTGTCGTCATGGTAACTGATTATACTCAAGAGAGGAACGTGATAAGACACAAACACGAGAAATTGAGGGAAAGGCAGGTCAGAAATAAAGAGAGCGAGATGTAAAGACGATATATATAGAATATGATCAAACAATTAAAATCCAAATTGTCTCCTCTACAGGGATAATACGAGCTCCGGATATCACTGTTTCTTCCTGCTGGATAGACTGCCCAAGCTGATAAGCGGCGAAAATTATAAAAAAATAATAGACAAAGTAAGGGAAAAATAATCGGGAGAGTTATACACCAAATAATAACATGTAATTTGGTATTATTTCACTTATTGCTGCTAAACGAATTTCGGGAATGTTATAGTTACAAATTACAATCGGCAATTTTGACAATTCTAAGACACTTTTCTTCAATGGCATTTTGGCTCAAAATGCGTATAAACGAGATATTTAGCATTTTATTATGTATGTATTTTCGTTTCGGTTATCCAGCCAAATTTAGGATTTTAATTTTTGGAATCAGTAGTTTTGACACCTTTCTTCCATGCGGTTTCGTCGTAAATTTATATTTTCCGAATATTTTAACCGATAAAAGAACCAACAATATTACTTGTTCAAAGTAGAAGGAAAATATAGGGTAAAATACTGTGGGGTATGAGATATTTGGTTCACACTCAGAATGGGATGGAGAAAGGAAACTCACAATGTGCTCTCTGTATACATGTTGTATTGGATGTACAATGCAGCTTGGTGCTGGGAACTGGCAGCACGGTTACAAGCGTGATGTAGAGAGAGCTGGTTGGTGAGGACGCTCAGAGAAGGACAACTTGTGGGTCGCCATGCTCGCCGGCGGGAGAGAGGACCGCCAGGCAGGCGGAGGAGGAGCGAGGGCCACCAGGCAGCAGCGGAGGAGGAGGTGTGTGTTGCTGGCTGGTTGGTGTAGGTAGAAAGAGACAGGTCACCACGAGGTCAGGTCTTAAATAGCGGGGGTAGGCGTGGCTTAGTAGTTGACCCCCGCTCTGTGATGTATGGCGGCGCTGGTTGACCTAGACCACGAGGCATACACGGGAATTGGTGGGGTCGGCTAGGCAGCGACAAACAGCGTTTGTAGGGGAGAAATCCACTACAATACTCCCCCTTCCCTCCAGGGGTGTAGGAGACTTGTTGTCTGCAGGGTTGCTTAGCACATGTGAGGCAGAACGGGCGGTGCATGCCTCATGTGAGACAACGACGATGGTGTGGATGAGCCTGTCGCTGGATACAACTGTCTAGATACACACTATCTGTGGGAGAAGAGAGGGAGAAAAAGGGTGTGTGGAGGAGATGAATGTTGTGCTTCCCTCATGGCAAGTACAGAGTCGTCAGATGCGCCTGCTGGGGTGTGTGGGCCTGGGTCAGGAGCAGGGGCTGCGTCAGCAGAAGCGGATGAGGGCTCTTGACAGCAGCAGGGTGCAGGACATTAGCAGGGAGTACCTGAGGGAGAAAAGAGGGGTGTGTGGGTCCGCACTCAGGAACAGAGACCGCATCAGGGGTGGCAGGGGTTACTGCTGGGCTGGGGTCGGTAGGACGTGGTGCTTGGGGCAGGAAGAGGAGCTGGTGTCTGCTTAGAGAAGCAGTGCTGCTCTAGGGTGTCTAACCTGCGGTGTAGAGACAGTAGTTGTAGAGCCGATGAGAGCTGCTTCTGTGTGGATAAGCCAGTCTTCCATGTTGCTTGAAGACTGGGAGCGTGATCAGTTTCTCCTCCATCCTGTGTGAGTGCGAATCTCCGGGAGTCACCATTTGTGGGGTATGAGATGTTTGTGTTCACACTGAGGATGGAATGGAGAAAGGAAACTCACAATGTGCTCTCTATATACATGTTGTATTGGATGTACAATGCAGCTTGGTGCTGGGAAGGCAGCATGGTTACAAGCGTGATGTAGAGAGAGCTGGTTGGTGAGGACGCTCAGAGAAGGACAGCTTGTGGGTCGCCATGCTCGCCGGCGGGAGAGAGGACCGCCAGGCAGGCGGAGGAGGAGCGAGGGCCACCAGGCAGCGGAGGAGGAGGAGGTGTTGCTGGCTGGTTGGTGTAGGTAGAAAGAGACAGGTCACCACGAGGTCAGGTCTTAAATAGCGGGGGTAGGCGTGGCTTAGTAGTTGACCCCCGCTCCGTGATGTATGGCGGCGCTGGCTGACCTAGACCACGAGGCATACACTGGGGAATTGGTGGGGTCGGCTAGGCAGCGACAAACAGCGTTTGTAGGGAAGAAATCCACTACAATACGTACTTTGAAAACATTACCTAACGTTTCCTAACTGGTAAAAATGTATGAATCACTTTCAATTAATGGATCCCTCCTCATATGAACACAGATAATAACACCAACATACTAAAAGCCGAAAACACCATAATCTAGTCCCTACTAAACACCAAAAACATGAGTAAGGTCAACTTTTTTATTTTAGGATTTTTAAAGGTTAGAAAATGTTAAGTCAGGTTTTCATAAGTATCCGACAGAAACGCTATAGAAGAAAAGTGTCTTAAAATTGTCTAAACTACTGATTCAAAAACTTAAAAAGCTAAAATTTGCTTGTAACGAAAACGATAATTTTACCTGAAAATTTACCTTTCATTTATTGCCACAAAATGAATCACGTGAATTTTAGTTGCAATCAAACTTCATATAAGCGAGATGTTACTTTTAGTCCTATAATCTTCTAGCGACTCAAAAATATATTTTTCCTACGTATGGCGATATGTCAAGGTTAATTTTCTAACCAAAATGGAAATATCAGAGGAAATTTTTTAGAATTTTCTGTAGATTTCACTTATGTTGCTAGATTTATCATAAATAATTATATGACTAAAGTTAACAAATACAGCAATATTTAACATTTTATTATGTATGTTTGTATGTGGCGGTACACACCCAGAACATAAAACCACTGTGGAGCCCCCAGGTTAGGTTTAGTTACTTTACTTTTATCCTCTTTACCACTGATCGGCTCGTTAGCCGTTTGGCCACATCTCTGTTATGCACTGTTGGCAAGTACTGGGTATGCACCGGCTCCTGGATGTATCTGAACCCACTCCAGTGCTTGTTAAGTCTGGTCTTGAAAGAGATCACGCTTGGTGCTATCACAACACTCTCTGGCAGGTTGTTCCAGAGTTCACAATTCTCACTCCGGAAAAGTTACCCCTCACAGTTTTCTGGGCTTGCGGCTTCTTTAACAAAGAGCTGTGACCCCTTGTGGGGGGAGTGTCCGCCAGCTCCAGGTCAGGACACTCGACTGAGTAGTGCTCTTCGAGATGTTGGTTAGGTTGGATTGAAATTTTTTCTGGTGGTTTTAACACTTTTTACCTTGACTTTTATAGCAAATCTCTAGATTCTGAGATGGCAGGAGACAGATCTCATTAACTATTGATTTGCACCAGAAATGAAAGTAAAATTCGTTAATAACACATAAAAAAAACATTGGAAAAGCATAGTTTCAACTTCAATTTCATTATTGGCAACAAGTGAAAATTTACCTGTGATTTCCTGTGCAGTGGAGTAGCCAAGGGTGCCATCACCCTATAAATTACCGAACCAACCATGAAACACATGAATCTCAAACTATGAGATTCACTTACTTTGTACGAACCTAAATAAACCATAAATCAACCAATAAGGGTGTCATCTTCAAATGTAGTTTGGCGACTATAACCAATCACTCCAACCATTTTGATGGGTTGTCTTTCCTGATCCTCCAAAATTTTTTGTATCTTGGGAACCACCCATTAAAATCACTCTTTCATCCTAGCTTTTGTCTTCCCCCTTACCTACTACTATACCTTCAATTTTATCCATTAACTATGCAGTAACTGTTACCCTTTCCTCTTCAGCATGTTATTCCCTAACTCATTAATTTAAATGAATTTTCATATTTAAAAAAATAATTGAAGAAATATGAGGCGTCGGAAGGAAGGGCGAAAACGGCAAAATGAATTCTTGAATAAAATGCGTTTAAATTTAAGAAATGCATAATTAACTCAAATATTACAAAATTTTCATTAGTTGGTGTTATTACTTATGGTTTGAAAGAAACTTTTATTGCCTATAGAAATATTAAACAATGCACTGATATTCTTTTTTACAATTAATTATAATTACCCACACTAATTCTCATTAATTTGTACATGAAATAAGTTAATGAAAATGATACCACAAGTAGTTCTCATAAAAGTATATTAAAATATTAAATGGTATTAATGCCTTTGACTATGGAGTGGAGTGGAGACCGGTGTGTCAACAACACGTGGGTGAAGTGCTAGCATGACGCTTATTAGCTGAAGGCAGCAGGTGGATGGTGCTGGGAGGTGATTGGCTGTAGAGCTCACCCTTTCTACTCGGTAAGATAGACCTGACATTACACTACGTTTAGAAATTGCAGATCAACTTAGTCATTCATACTACCTGGGATGAAGAGCACATTTGCCATGGCTCATCCCACCACCTCACTCTTCAAGTTTCAGCCTGCAAGGGGAGAGAGAAAACGGAAAATTGACTAGGTGGCGAGTTCACCATTCCTTCTCTTGACGCCTCACATGAGGGAAATAAAAAAAGTTGTGTTATAAGAACATTAGTGTGTGTGAAGTTAAGATAGTGTGATTAACCCGTGCAATCAGCCAGATGTAAAATTGACAGACCACTATGATGCAGCAAGTTAAGTGTGGTGTGTGAGAATGTGCAACAAAACAAATGAAAAAAGCAACAAAAAACTAACAATTAATTTCACATTTATATGTTCATATTCTCAACTCGCACAATAATCCTTTTTAGCTAAAGACAACTTGCTTAAATACATACAGTAATATGCTCACTTAAGTAAAGAAGAATATGGATGTGCACCAAAACAATACAATTTTCATGGGATTTAATGATGACAGGAGAGGAAAATGTCATGATTATTATTGACTATTTTCACACAGTACATATTTGTTGTCTTCATAATTTACGAATATGGGAAACCATTAATTATGAACAATACACAAATTTAATACATTCTTTATTTATTTGTTACACTACATACTTCACAAGGAGTTTTAGACTTCATTTCTTTATGAAGTTAAAAAAAAAAAACACGATTATCATTCATACCGACATTATGGACCTGAAATAAATAGAAATTCACAAAACTGTCTTCACGGAAAATGTTGATGATTTTTTGATGATCCTATCCTGATGAGGACAATAACTTGCACAACTACCTGAAAGCAAGTTTGACGCAACGTTTTTTAGTTATAAACATTACCACGCTATTGCAGAATATCTATGACCTGTGATATAACAACATTGGTCAAATATCGACTTCTGAGGATAATCCAAAATTGTATTACTCAAGATCTGTTAAACATGATCTAACATGCACATTAACAAGGTCAACATTTGATACCCGCTGCCAGCATGAAGAACGGTGATTCAGATGAGAATAGCTCCAAATCCAAAAGTTCTCTTGATGCTTTCCCAATAATAGTTCCTCCATCCTTCTTTCGTTCTGTCTACCTCACTGTGAAGAAAGAAAAATCATTGAATGGTACACAAATGTTTTTTCCCATCACATAATTACAAATAATCCAGGAGCAGCAATAGCATTTTCAGGTATTTAAGCATGTGACGTTTATGAAGTGTCTTCTACCCAAAATTATAATTTCCAGTCAATCACAGCCTATACATACTACGTGGAGTGATTAAGGCGGTATAATTAAAAAAATTAACTACCGATATACATCTTAGAATAGTTTTAAAACACGGGAATTGATCCTAAAACCATACCAAGCAGCTGTCATTAATATTGGTACTCAATTGAGAGGGTGGACAATTGGACATTATACCCCACCTTCACTTTACAGCTGGTGACACTCTTACATAGGCCTCGGTGAACATGACGAGAGTAATGCCTTGGTCTTAACTTACATCTAACAAAGACTGTTGAATACAATCAGGAGAGTTGCTGAATAATATGAGACAAGCAAATAAGTGCAAATAGGGAGGGGAGGTGGAGACAGTAGGAAGCACTTTATAAATTAATATGCTGATGTATCCATTTTGCACAGCCTAGTTCAAATTCCCCACCCCTCCTATCACTGACTGGTTTCAATTAGAGTATAAAAGAAATACTTTTATTGGTTTGACAATTTGTGACATTACAAACCACACCTTCAAACTGGATACAATGGGTAGACAAAATTAACAGGTTGGATAGAAGGAAGTACTTCAGTCTCTGAGATAGTAGCTCTCCTACTTGCTTCAAGTTCTTCCATATTAGATGACAAGTCAGCAATGCAGATACAACCTACAGGTACACACCCACACTCTTCATTTTTCTTATTTTTTAATTTTATACAGTATTACATTTTCTTTATTTCTAAGCCACATTAGAGTACTGTATTGTAATCATTATTCCACAACTTTTATAGTTACATTTACATGTAACAATGGCCACCTCGTCCCCAGTTTTTTCCCTTCCCAGTAAGTGTTTGCAAAATTAAATACCGTCTGTCTGACTGCAGTTAAGCCTCTGTAGTAACAGAGCTCCATGCCAGATGTGTAGTTTAGATGCAGAAAAATTCACCAGTGTCCGGAAAAATTCCTTAGATGTGCGATTTTTCCGGGACAAGGAAATTTATCTCAATACCTAGAAACCTCTCAAACCTGGAAACACTCTTTTCTAATTATTCAATTATTCTGGCTAACAGGGATGAAATTATGAGTGCTTTGGCAATCTCCCACCATCCACATAATGTTGCAATAAAGTGGATGTCATTTTTGGCTTTTGAGCATCAGTAGGCCTCACAATGGCAAATAGGTAGAGGCTTTTTGACAGCATGCCCCATGAAAGACTGAGAATTAAACTGAAAGGTTTAAAGATTCGGGGAAGTGTCCTAGCGTGGATCGGAGACTTTCTTTATGACCACAAGGAATATGTGATTAATGACAATATCTTCATGTGTACCCATGACAAATGGGGTACCACAGGGAAGTGTACAGAAATTGGCCTGTTGTTGTTTGTTTGTTTCATAAATGACATGCTTGAAGCTTTACACTCCTCCATATAAATGTTTGCCGATGATCCAATGTTATTTAGGGAGATTAAGAACCAAATGGACTGAGAAGGGCCACAGAAAGATCTGTCAGCTCCAAGAGTGGTTGAAGAAATGGCTGTCACGAAGTGCAAGAAGAAGCACCGAGGTTGTACCAACAGTAAGGAGCATGGCATGTCCCAATGGGACGAAGAGACAACATTAACAGAGACTGAATGTAAAAAGAACCTGGGTGTGCATAATGACAACGAACTGAAATTCTCAGACCATTGTGAGAAGGTGAATCAAGCAACTAAGCTAATAGGTGTGGTGCTTCCCTATTTGGAGTACTGTCACCCTGTCTGGTCCCCAAGATATGCTAGAGACTGTCAGTTGATTGAAAATGTCCAAAGGAGGGCAATGGAGGGTCACCAGACTGGTGCTTGCGCTAAGGCATCTACGAAGTCTTTGCCCACAGTGCAGGCAATGAAGCCATAATTATAGACAATAACAATGGGAAATATTGGTTATGAGACCCACTATAGGTCCTAAAAAGAAAGAAAGAAAAAAGTCACAAAGTATTACTACAGTACAAGTACCTTTGGAATTGTACTTTACCTTGAATTTGTCGGGAGACCATTCACCCCTGAAAACTTTATTCAGTCAAGTTAGGAAAAAATCTCGCTCACTAAAGCTCCCAAGTGTTTCTCTACGGCAAGCATGCAAGTGTATATGTATGTACAATTACACATCACTATTATTTGTGTGTCAAGTCACACAACCTTTTTACCAAATAAGAAAAATCAACATTTACAAAATTTTCATAATAACAAAGAAGAAAACGAAGATTTTTACTCACTTGTATGGAATTCCTGATTGAGACAGTCTAAGCTCTGTGCAGTCTTCTTTTTGCTCTATATCAATGGTGACTGTAGAATAGTGGCCACTTGGCCAAGATTTAAAACGCCATGTCTGCACAATCTGCTTGTTTGGTACCTAAAACAAAAAAGAATGAGCAACCAAATATGCACTTATATACAGGGTGTTTCAAATTGAGTTAAATAATTTGAACCTTTTCTTCCCAAAAAACTTCTACAGTTATCACAGAATGCTGATCTATACATTCACTCAAAGTTCACATTATGACATTTTTAAATCATTAAAACAAACAGGCATTGAAACGCTGATGCCAAAGTTCTGTGCAAATGTTCTATACATGGCTGAGGTGACTGCCTGGCAAAATTCTGCCACCTCCTGCTTTACAAGAACAAGTGTTGGGGGGTTTATTAGCATAGATTGTGCCCTTGGCAGCTACCCCCAAATAAGTCAAGGGGTGAGGCTCGCCCTTAGTAATGCATATATGTAGTCCATAAACAAAAAATCTTTATTCTGAAAATGTTACAATCTTTCTTCAGTCACTGTCATTCATTCATACATACTGCTGTAATATATATTTGGCTATAGTATTCGCTTTCTGCATCATGACCTTAAACATCTATCTGGTTTACCCTAGGTTGCTTCACAGAACCTAGAAACATCCACCTGCAATACATCTATCTCCTTATAAACACCTGATGCCATGTTTTCCAGTCATCCATACAGCACTAAAGATATACAGTAATAACTAAGTAGGGTCACTGCATCAAAATAAACTGGTCTTAATTTCATCTTGACTACATGATTTACATGTTTCTTCTATGATATATCTTGGCCAACATATATAATAATAAATATAACTTACCAATGATTCAAAAACACCAGATATATTACCGCCAAAGAATTCAAATTTGCCTCCTTTCTCAACTTCTAACTTCACATCACCTCTGGTGAAGGCAACCACCATCTGAAAAAATAATGTACTATACATCATAAGTCCCATAATTTAGGTTCTCTCACTTACTCGATATCAAGACAGCACTGACACTCACTATATTACAGCATCTCTATACAGTATACCCCCAAAATTTCCTCCTTTACCTTTCTGTTCTTTTTTTGCAATAATTCCAACTGATATTTTAATTCCACAAAAATACAACGATAACTTTAGTATTAATAAAATAAAACCTATAATTGCCACAGCACAAAATCATCAAAAGATGTTAATGGATTTTTGTAGTTGTATCTGTGAAACACTTTTGTTACACGTGTAAAAAATTAATGACCTCATCCAAATTTGCTGTGCAAAAAAAGAAAAAGCCAAAAATATTCCTTGCTCTATTCTACATACTGTACTTTCGGTAAAAACATGTGCAGTAGGGGGTTGAGTACATGCAAAAGGAACATCACAAACCTCCCGTTGGGTGAATGCTCTGTACAGTTCATCTGCAGTGCACTTGAAGGTCTGAGTGACATTAATCTTGGAAGTACCTATTTTGCAGCCAAGATCCATCTTCTCAATGTTATCGGTTGTTTTTCTTACCTAGAAAAATAAAGAGAAGAGTCGCTGTTTAAGCAATGTAACATGCCTATTCTAAAGCTGCTAGGAATAAATGATAGACAATTTGACCAGAGACAGCTAACAAAGCAAAGAGGCTTGTTTCCAGTAGTGTCCTTAAGCCAGCAACATCTGGTGTTCTTAGGGCCAGGCAGTCATCCATCCAAGTACTAACCAGACCCAAACTGGCTTAACTTTGCTGATCGGACAAGAAACCATGTTTCCAAAACTGAGAAAGTTGCTTAATCAATTAACCACTCCAAACACACAAATAAACTTTCCACCTAGTAATCAAGTGATACAACATACCGGTATGCAACTTTAGAATACATTTATGTATATCAACCATTTCTCCTTGTCTTTACCCTTTCCTATCCTATCACATTCTATACATTCTACACAGCCCTCCCTTCATTTCCCCCCATTAAGACTGGGAGACAAGTAAATAAGAAGATACTGATTGACTTTACATTTATCTTAATACTGTGCAGTGCAATTCCTTTTACCCGAACTTATCGGGTCCAATGATAGTTCGGACACCTGGACATGCCTACAAGAACATGCAATAATTAACATTAGGTCAAAATTTGGTTCAGCGATAGCTTGACTCATTAGGAAGAGGGAAAAAATGGGGATGAGGTGGCTTGTGATATGGCATATTGTCATTGTTACATGTAATGAAACAATAAAAGTTGTGGATTAATCATTACAATACAGTTCATACTTCACTTTAACGAGCTTCACATTAACACTTCACCACAATAATGATAGTAATGAAATGCAGCAACACCTCAACACATTAATGATACATTTCAACACAATAACAATCAGTAAGAACTTTGTATTGTGCAAAATAATAAAGCCTACATTTTATTCTACAGTTCAAAAGAGACAAAACAGTTCACAACTTACACTCATATTGGAAGAGTTATTAACCGATGCTGGGCTGATGAGTGTTTTGCTCTGCTTCACTACAGCCTGCCCTTTGGTTGGCTTGATGAGGTCTGTTGCATATTCTGAAACAAATAAGCCATACACTATGGATATAATATGAAATAAACCATACAATTTGGCTGTTAATCTAAAATAAACCAAACTTATATAATTACATAAGTTCACTATACAGTATATATATATATATATATATATATATATATATATATATATATATATATATATATATATATATATATATATATATATATATATATATATATATATATATATATATATATATATATATATATATATATATATATATATATATATACATATATACAGGGTGTCCCATAAGTTTCCATACAACGTATCACCAACGCCATTACAAGCATAACTCCAGCTGTGCTTGAACGTGTTCTTCAGCAGTGGAGGACACGCATTGAAGAGTGTTTTCAACAGAATGGTAGTCATGTAGAGCATATTATATAAATAAAAATGGATTTTCATATAAAATTTATTTTTCCTATGTATGGAAATTTATGGGACACCCTATATATATATATATATATATATATATATATATATATATATATATATATATATATATATATATATATATATATATATATATATATATATATATATATATATATATGCAAGTAAATCACTGTAGGTGCACGTGATCCAGGTATATGTTGATAACCACAAGGAAAAAAGAAAACACGAAGTTCCCAAGCACTTTCGTGTAATTCACATCTTCAGGGGTGAGTACAGACTAAAGAAGAAATACATAACAAGGCTCACCCTCCTCTACTGTATATATAAGCCTTGTTATGTATTGTATTGTATTGCCAGTTTGCCCTCCAATAGTACCATAGTTGGCATTTAGAGGGGGTGGGGGAGGTGGTAGTGTTCAGTTTGATTTATTAGAAATAAGATTGTGATCAGAAGACCCTACGGGGGCAGAAATTGAACATGAATAGTGTGAGGGGTTAGAGGTAAAACAAAGATCAAGAATGTTAGTAAATTGATCGTGTCGATCTGGCACACGTGTAGGGTGTCTAATTATTTGTTCCAGATCATTAAGTAAGGAAAAAGAGTGCCTCAGCTCCACCTGGGTCAACCCTTGCAAAGCCAAACCACTCTCTGTGATGTATATTGAAATCCCCTAGGAAAAACACCCAAGTCGGTAATAAGATTATCTGAAATAAACCAAAAATTTTGGCAAATTTAGTTTAATTTTCTAACATTAAAAACATTACCCTTAATTCTTCATGAGCATATATTATTCTTTTATTAAAGGAATAATTTGGTTCACTTACATGACATAATTACCCACAGTTTGGTTCACTTTAATGGTATTCTAGGCAAAGAAATTCAAGATCGTTTATTATTGTGCATGAATGCTGAAAATACTGATGTCATTCTTTACAAATATAAATACTACATACATTTTGTAATTTAGAAAACAGATACAACAAAGGTAGGTAGATTAAATATCTATTTGCCCTATTAATGTAACCTACACTCCTTGCCTAATACACCAGGGCATTTACAAATGAACCCAAGGCACCTGTGGTGAGGACCTGGCATCACATATCACAGAGAGGATAAATACTGTATACCATTAACATTAATGGATTGAAGATCATAACAGACTCTTTAGTTAAGACTTGAACCCAGGGACAATGGACTACCAACCCAATGCAATAACCACCCTGCCACCACACCAATTGTAAATGTGGACCAAGAAACTTAGTTCTTTATATTAAAAACCCTAACTTACCTTTCTTTAGAGTGTCTACATATTGAACGATTTTTTCCCTGATATTTTCAGCACCATTCTTCCGGAGGTACTCCTTGATCTTGTCCCCAACTGATCCTCCAGCTGACAAACTGACAGAAACCTGAAGCAACGAAAGTCTGGCTTATAGGAAATGCACTGATTTTTACAAAAGGAGAAAGATTATGCTGAATTACACAGGCATTTTAAATACATGTACAAATAATCACCTCTTTAAAATGTTTTCTGAACTTAAAGACAACTAAATGAAGAAAATATGTGAAGACAAATATTCTTAGTCAAAATATAGTAAATCTTGAGTCATCTACATCCTTCCTTTCATAGCTAGCTGTAATTTTTTTTACTATCCAGTCTGAGCAAAATAGAAAGTACAGTACCACTTTATTTTTCCATTTTGGCTGATATTAATGCAACCACAATATACTTTACAGAGTTACTGAAAATGCATTGTTCTACTTTTTACAGATGTTATTCACTGCTTTAGCTACTTGCTTTATGGCATTCAGTAACAAAGTGCAGTACTTCAAAATTTTCACCATCTTACCTCCTTATACTGTATATCCCTAATTTGTAAATACACAAACCTTATCACATCTACTCAACAAAATCATGTTTCTCTGTCAATCACCCTTGTTTATCTCGCACAACAACATTTACTTTATCACCATAACCCACCATAAACTACAAGAAAAAAAAACCCTTACATCAATTTCATCTGGATCATTCTCCTCTGACAAGTTGGGAATTTCTATGGTGCCCTTGATGTCCTTTTTGGGATCCTCATATGAAGTGGCCATCCAGTCAATATGCAGCACCCACTCATAAAAGAATATTAGTTTGCCTTTACGGTTACTGACCGTGGCTTCACCCTCACACTTCGTTAGTTCCTTTAGTGTTATCCTGCCTGAAACCCAAAGAAGGAATTTATCATAATATTCACACACTGTTAAATAAGCAACACTAATTATCAAGCCCACACCTGCCGGTCATTTCCTAGAACCAGAGGGAGACACATTTTTTTTAAAGAAAAGAAACTACAGTACAGTAAGGATTCAGTAATTTTGTGAACCTGCAAAATTTGGATTATTTATTTTATTTTTATCATTTTTGGGGGGTGTCATACGGTGTTCCAGGCTGAGCAGATTATTTGAAACATTTACTTGTCTCTGACAAGTGACTTAAGAAATCTACTTACCCAGAATTTTTTTACTTGCCCTGACAAATTTTGGAGGAAATCTGCTTCCCTAGTTTTTTATGGGAAAAGCTAACTAAAAATTTTAAAACATTAAAAAAAGGTGAAATAAACATTGTAAAACATTCACAATTATTGTGTACAAACTCAGATAACTTGTGTCCGTCTAAATGCCTCTTAATTTCACCCAGTCAACTTCCTTGCTTCTTATAGTACATACAGTATTAATATTTTCAATTTGTAGTACTGTACAACTCTCTTTACACAGTAATCAATGGGAGCTTTAGTACAGATTTTCAAGTCAAGTAATTGTAAGAATAAACCAACAGAAATATGAGGGATCAGTTATGACATCACTGAGGTTGTAGCATGCACCTGGGCTTTCTTAGTTCATGGGTCAGGTCACCGCTGGTTGACGGACCTCACTGGTTAAATACATGTACTATAGGGCGGTGAGGTCACGCAGCACTTGAAAAATCCCCATCTGGGTATGTTCCTCTCACAATATTAACCTGTCCCCTGGGCAAGTGCCACGGTCATGAAAAATCACTTCTTTAGCCTTTAATGCAGGCACGTCTGGGCCGCCAGGCACTGCTAATCTGCACAGCCTGAAGTGTTCCCTCTCCATAAGCCCCCTCTGTTATTCTCTCCAGATTTTAACATTGCATTTAGTCCATGTTCTCTCTAATTAAAGGCTGGAGTACAAAAGTCACTATCGTTACCATATTCATCATGAATAGACACCACCTCACTTAAGAAATGAGAAACAATAATCGAGCGCAAATATTTCTTCTTCCTATTTATTTCGGGAGGAGACATAGAACCACAGGGTCCCTATCCGTTTATTTCAAACAGCATTACTTGCCCTTACCCCTTTACTACAGGAATGTCACTTTTAATACTTTATTTGACCTAATGCCAGACGATTTTATTCAGTTCAGAAGGGATCCCATACAAAAGGGGTTAACTATGTTTATTCTGAAATTAACAGTTTACTTCTTATCATCAATGTATATAAAGGATAACAGGAAACATTATAGTAGTACCCTGTACTTGTATTTAAGAAATGAACCACAAGTAACTTTAGTTAATCACAGATATCAAGTGTAATCAATGAAAAACCACAAGCTGCCAATACATTATGTTATTGTGTTATTGCTTTCTCTTGACTACTGTACAACAATTATTATAATTATTATAGTACTGTATCCTGATATATCCCGAGGAAGTGTCTTTAAACCATCATTTTATGCTTTTTTATCCAGTGAAAAATTATGACAACTCATTGGCAAGCAACCTTTTGGTCGACTATGAGCATACATACACACACTCAATGATGAACTGTTTGTGAAGAATTTACTATATTGACCGACATAAAATGGTAAAATTAAGTCAAATAAATCATCATCGTTTTACGGACATTATCCATGCTTGCCCAAGCATGGATTAGCTGCGGTTACCTAATGTCAGCTCTCCATGCTGCACGGTCTCTTGTTGTCTCTCTTGTTAGGTTCCTAAATCTTTAATTTCATATCTTACAACCTCTCCCCATGTCATTCTTGGCTTACCCCTGGCTCTCACATATGAAAATTATAAATAAATTGTTTACAAATCACATATTCTGTCAAGTAAGCGACCAAATTAAGATAATACAGGAAAGAATAGCAAGGTGTTTATAATGCTGTTAAAAAAAAACTATTTTAATAAAAACATTATAAATAAAACTTTTTTTTTAATCCCACATTGAAGAATAGCAATTCAAAGTCCCATCCGATGAATGAATGTTTTCAAGGTTTCATCAGGGGCTGTCTGCAAAGATCAAGTTGCCAGAAATGCCAAAATGTAGCATATTATTTACTTTTCATTTTGATATTCATTTGCCCAGACAGCAAAATCTGCATCACATCTAACATGGATGTCACTGAAAAACAACACTTTCCCCGCAAGTTACTTTTTAAAAGTAAATTCATGAACTGTCAATACTGTACAGTATTATAAACACCATAAGAATTAAAGGAAACAGTACAGACACAAACAGTACAGTACATTCAGATTTATGGCTATATGCATTGGTTTTGAGGGGTGGATGAATACAGTGTGTACAGTTTACCCTTCAAATACAGTGTGTACAGTACAGTGATCCCTTGGTTAACGAACGCCTCGGTTAACGAATTACCTTCCATAAGATTCTTCACTTCGGTTAACGAATTCCTTACGAATTTTTCCCAACATGTTTTCGCTTGCATTTGGCTCTTCACCAGCTGTAGTATTAGTCCGCCAATACAGTAATCGGTTCTAGGACTTAAATTCGTTACCATTTTAGTAAATATCAAGAAGGTTGTACTATTCAATCATTTTAAAAGTTTTATATTAAATTTTTTAGTCATTTTACCAATTATTGAACATAATTGAAGTACAGGAAACTAGTTTTTTGCGCGCCAAACAGCCACTCAACACACCAAGCTTGGCGTCAGTTTGTTTATCGGTTCAGAGGAAGGAACATCTTGTTTGAGACTCTTCAATAGAAATGCCTTTTAACTGTGTTTCCAGTCAAATTATTGGTCATTCTGAAGTCTATTTTACATATTGACAATACCTGTATATAATGCAGTGCAGTGTTGATTTAAAGAAAATACCGGTAATCTTGAATTACACCAAGTGAACTAAAATTTTATGGGCGAAATGGCGGCATGGGGTGACTTCTCTTCCACCCCAATGCCTTCTCTTCTCCCTTCTCCTCCACCCCCACTTCCTTCTCTTCTCCTCCTCCTCCTCCCAGTTCAAATTCACATCAGCATCATCATCCAGGAGCCTTCTACATACACACCTCAAAGTAACTGTACTTTACTGCATTTTTTTTTTTTTTTAGGTAATTTTCGGTGAGCTGGAACCAATTAACCAAAAACCCATTGAACAATGGTTTCGGTTAACGAACAACCTTCTGGAACGAATTGTGTTCGTTAACCGAGGGACCACTGCACTATATGAATGTGTTTGTGTTACCTTTCCAATGCAGTATCATTTTACTTTAGTCATACAAAATAGGATATTAAGAGAATTAATGAAAAATATTAGTGATACAGTACTGAGAATGAAAATTAAATTATGATACATGACCATCTTTGATGCTTCATGGCTACTTGAAGCAGTGTGTGTACTTAACATGTATGTGTGTGTGTTACCTTTCCAATGCTGTTACAGTATTTTATTGAGATGAACAAAACTAAACTTCACATTACTGTATTCCAAATGGTGGAAGTTGTGTGTTACTGCTCCATAGAAACATCCAAATTGTTCTATGAGTCATCTGGATCATCCATATTAGGAGTGGGAGGAGGAAGAGTAGACTCAGTTGTACAGGTACGGTAGTTGTTGGAGGAAGGGAGGATGCTACTGGGGTTGTTGAAGCGGTACAGAGGCAGAGCATGGTTTCTAATACTGTACATGTTGTCAGCAATGTTTCACTTTCCTCTGTATCTCCTTATATATTTCGCTGTAGGGAATCACAGCCTTCTCAATTTCACACTTGAAAAAGACTTCTTTCCATTGATGGGTCATATTCAAATATTAAACCAGTAAAGGCTTTAGAAGCCCAGAAAATTTATGCTGTTTTATGAAGATATGAAGATCCCAGCTGTGGAGTGTGTGTGCAGTTTACTGGAATCTTGTAGAAACTTCCAGGAACTTTTAGGTGTTTCTCAATAAAATTTTGGTTTGCTAGGGCATTGTGAAACTTAAGTGCCCATTTACAGCTGGGTGAACTGGGAATGCCCAGGAATTGAACCACCTACCCCTGGAACAGGAGGCGAGTGCTGTATCCACTTGACCACAGTGCTCCATTGTAAATCATTGAAGACCATCATATAACTTACCTAGACCTGGTTCTTCAATAACCATGCCTTCAAACAGAGACTTGAGTTTGTCTTTACTCCAGCTACCAGCATTTTTCTCTGACCTAAAAAAAAAAAAGTTATTATAATCTAGATATTATTTGTTCATATTATATATATATATATATATATATATATATATATATATATATATATATATATATATATATATATATATATATATATATATATATATATATATATATATATATATATATATATATATATATATATATATATATATATATATATATATATATATATATATATATATATATATATATATATATATATATATATATATATATATATATATATATATATATATATATATATATATATATATATATATATATATATATATATATATATATATATATATATATATATATATATGTATATATATATATCACACCGCACAAACAAACACACATAGTATATGGGCACTGTACTGTACAGTACACACACAGGTATGGGACCAATTATCCAGCATGCTAGAGAAAGTACAGTATACAGTATTCTCCTTTTTTCAATAGGTTCTAGCTCCACATATACAAATCAATCTAGAATCTGTGCATGGCCACTACTGAAGAGATTTAGTTTTCACCCCACATTTTTCCGTCTTCAAAGCCCTGCCCACTCTGTGAAAAACCAGTCATATCTTCACAAATATACAACAGGTCACATTCTTTTAAATCACTACCAAACAATATAAGAAAACCCCATTTTTTTTAGTATTTCCTCATTATGGTCATTGATGAAGCTTTACCAAAAAGATTTGTGTTCTTAGGTAAAATTTAACACAGTAGGTAGTCTTCACCACATCTCACGGGACATGCGATGTGGTAATGAAGGAGAGAGAAGGAGAGAGAGTGAGGAGTGTTGTTATTGAAGTAGGTGGTTTCGTCAGTGCCACATCCATTAGCACTCAGATAAGGATTAGTGGCCAGTTATGTAGTAAACATACGAGAGTCAGTGTGTGTAGTGCAGTGAGCAGACTAGGTTGTCTATTACTTTGTCCGGAGACGACTTCTAACTATTGTCAAGCCACTGTGTATCAGTGACCTTACTCAAAACATACTGTTATAGTCTGTGGAAACCACAGAGTTCAGTGTACAGTGATAACTCACCCCTAATCGTCTGCCATTGTACTCACACACGTTATACCAACAGAACCGTCACAAGTGAGTGCTGAACAATTGTACAGTATAACTGTATTTAGAACTAAGCCAACTTGGAAGGTTAATCACGTGATTATTATTATCACAAGATGTGAATTAAATATGATGGATACTGTTTGTGTGTTTGGTACTTACAACTGATAGTGGGACATGTATTTCCAGGTATGACCAAATAAACAATGTCGTGTACTGCTGGATGGATCTCATTACCCCACACTCTCACCCCCAGTCTGGCCGTGAGCGGGGGGGGGGGGGTCTAAATCACAAACGAGTGATTTCCGACAAATACGAAGGTCAGATTTGGACTAATAGCATAAGAACCCATCAGAATCCCACTTTTTTTCTTCAAATTCCATAGTTGCTGTACTGTGCACATATATCCTTTCTGGAGGTGGGGTTACCATGGCTGTATAGTATTATTTAGTCCCACCCTTTTATTGAACATTATGTTTCTTGTAAGTTCATTGATAAGTTGGCTGAGCTCTTCTGGGCCTTTACCATGTACTCAATGACGAAATAAGTACCTCAAATCAAGGATTACTTGACAAACATAAGAGTAAATATTTCCTGGAACTAAAAAACAAAACCCGGTGTCTGTCATGTCACTCACCAGTGCCAGTTATTCACGTTAGTAGCATCTGGCCGTTCCTCCACGATCCATCTGGGGTCTCCCTCTCCCCATTTAGCCATCTTGAAGCTCTAAGTTCCTGTAAAACTCCTATTATCAGGAGAAATACTACGTGATGTGGTCGGCTGCAGCGTGCTGAGTGGCCCTGTGTTTACCTCGGCTGATCGTCAAGGGATCCCAACGCGAATTTTCCAGAATACACTAGCGTAAAGGGAGGGTGTATATATCTTGCTCAACTTATGTAAAGGAAAAAATCTATTTGAATGATAAAATAAATCAGTAAATAAACATATATAAAACTAGACTAGATTAATATACATCCATATTCACAATACGATGGATAATGATAATAATCACACTACTACGACTAAGACTTCTACTACTAATACTTTTAATTTTTTCTGTACAGACCATTGGCGAAGTAATAAAGTAATGTAATGAAAGCTGTTTCTGACTAGAGGAGAGGTAATGTTTTTCTCCTGGCTTTGAATAGAGTAAAGTGACGCTTGAGGTACTTCATGTTCCTTTAGTTTAGGTATACCGTATATGTCCAGATTCACAGTTTATGGAAGTTATAATTTTTGGCTGTGTAGTCAGCCTAATACCATTTATTTTCTTTGTTTTACTTTTATCCTTTTCACCACTATTCGGCTCGTTAGCCGCTTGGGCGGTCGGTCACTTCTCTGTTACGCACTGTTGGCAAGTATTGGGTATGCGCTGGCTCCTGAATGTATCTGAACCTGCTTCAGTGCTGGTAAAGTCTGGTCAGGAAACAGCTCAAACTCGGGGCCGTCACCACACTCTCTGGCAGGTTGTTCCAAGAGTTCACAATTCTCACTCCAAAAAAGTTAGCCCTCACAATTTTCTGGACTTGGTGGCTTTTTCAACCTTGAGCTGTGACTGATGGTTATTCTATTTTCTATATTAACTATGTATTGAGGCTTTTGTTGTAGGCGCATCAACTATTTGGTTATGAAGCACCCTCCACTGTAGATCCTTGTTTTATAATAGGTATTTTAACTAAGAGATTTGTTGATCCTTTCACTAGATCTTCGTTTTTCTGTAAGCAAACTATAAAGACTCAGAATAAACTTTGTATGCTTATTTTATATAGTTTTGTAAAAGTTATATTTTCCTTTATATAATTCATATTACCATGAAACTTTATCTTGTGTCTGGGATTATCAAATTCATTATTTTCACGGAGAATGATTTTTTTCTTCGTTTAGACAGAGAGCAATTAATGTGGATGACTCATCATGAACAAAGACGTTCCTTCAACAGTAAAAATTCGATATTGAGCAGAAGGGGAAATTACCAGTGATTATGTGACATCCGGGATAGGAGGAAATGGAAATGAGAACAGGATTGGATTACACTATAATGTTGACGGACTAAATTGTTGAGGAACATTGGCCATGGCCTTGATATTGAGGAATCTTGGCCACCACCTTGATACTGAGGAACCTTGATCACCACCTTGATACTGAGAAACCTTGGCCACCACCTTGATGCTGAGGAACCTTGGCTACACCTTGATACTGAGGAACCTTGGCCACCACCTTGATACTGAGGAACCCTGGCCACCACCTTGATACTGAGGAACCCTGGCCACCACCTTGATACTGAGGAACCCTGGCCACCACCTTGATACTGAGGAACCTTGGCCACACCTTGATACTGGGGCACCTTGGCCGCCACCTTCAGGCAGCCTATCACTCCTGAACCACCTCACACAACATAATTAAAAAAAACACGAGTTATATTTCAAACTGAACTGAATTTGTTTTACAGTTTTTATTATGCATTATAATACTCCTGACCAGAGCAAATAAGTAAAATATAAAAATAACAGGTTTCATTATTCAGAAATATGACTTAGGGTCTAAGGTATTTCATAAGTCATTGGTTCGTGTTTCGGGGTGAGAGCTTGGGACCCAATAACGTTACTTAAACTCTGTATTATTATTATTATTATTATTATTACTATTATTATTATTATTATTATTATTATTATTATTATTATTATTATTATTATTATTATTATTATTATTATTATCATTATTATTATTATTATTATTATTATTATTATTATTATTATTATTATTATTATTATTATTAGTAGTAGTAGTAGTAGTAGTAGTAGTAGTAGTAGTAGTAGTAAACGTCCGTAAAAAAAATATGAGCCAGAAATAAAGCAAGTCCTGACCGTGGCTCCTGAGGTGGTTCCAATTGTAAGTTTATTCTCGATAAATCCAAGGATGCTTAACCTGTGTACGTAATGACCATTTATGACGCCAGAAACGATCCAACCACACTTAAGTTAATCTGATGTGACCTGATTTAACGATCCTAGATTAGAAATGGTTTGTCATCCATGTTGCACTGCGAACAAACTGGCTTCGTACACCTTTTATGGCATACCTTGCTGCCCTCAAGCAAGAAAAAAATTAAAGCATTAAAACCGAACCCAACAAGTTAGGTTAAATTAGGTGTAAATTAAGTTAGGAATACTATAGGTTAAGTCTGATTAGGAGTAAGTTAGGTTATGGGTAGGACCGTAGGGGTAACGCGGCCGACTGGATACAGACGCTGGTTCGAGCTGGTTCGAACCCGGGGGCCCCGTTCCCATATATCCACCCAGCAGTAAATGGCTACAGTTGCGGAAAAGTTTTCCTACGTCCCCTGTGGTAACCAGTGTCTTCACACGGCCAACATATATTACCTATAGCAATCCAATCCACCAATCACGTCCGTCGTTACATGACCAATACCCATTCATTCATAAACAGTGACATTACTACTGCAACGATGCAGTTTGGTGACACGGGTCACCATAGGGGGCGTAGGAACACATTTCTACAACTACACCTCACTTTACAGTTGGGGATGTGAAGGCAGCCAAATGCAGTGCTGTCCACGCTGTCTTAGTAAAAAGTTCGTACCATCCACACTGTCCATAACGGACAGCCATGTTTATGGGACCCATTTTCAGTTTTAGGTTAAGTTTGTAGCAGGTTAGCTAATTTTTAATTTAATTCTTATTTCCACCATAAGTTTCAATTTGATTTATTATATCCACCACTTATCGACTTACTAGCGATTCGGGCAGTCGGTCTGTTCTTTGTTGTGACCGTCATTGCCCAGTAAACCGGAGGACCCGAAGAAAACCTGTCATGTTAATTAGGCTCTTCATCTCACCGAATAATATCCTTTTCACATCTGTCCCGGGCCAGGGATTAAACCTAAAACACAGTTAAGTCCCATTGTCGACGGCCAACACCACTTGTAGTCCTGCTGTCATGCATCGCCACACCAGATAATACACTCAGCCTCACATCTCCCTCACAGGTGGTAACTTCTAAAAAAAAAAAAAAAAAGCCATAACTTCTTTAATATCCGCCCTCCTGCACGTCCTGCCTTCCCTCCCTCAACTGATCCTGCGTCCTTCCCCGGCACAGTTCAAGGCCAAGTCTAGATACAAAACTTTAAGTGTTCCCGTGAACCTACACACTCACAGCCTGCCTCCCGCTCGCGCTGCCACCCCGAGCACCTCATCCACCCACCACTCGAGTTTATCATCAGTCGTCAGGTTCGTCACTCTACCACCATAAACCCCTCGCCTTCCCAGTCACCTGTCACAAACACTCACTTGCTGAGCACCACCTGATCCTCTACTCTCAAGTAAATTAAAGATAAAAAAGCAGATTGATTCAATTACAATGTGCATATGGCTAGGTTAAGTACTGTAGTTTTAAGTGCGTTTTAAGCACCTTTATTATACTGTCTCAATCTATACATGTACAATCATTTCTGAGAAACATTCGCTGATTCTAATAGTTGTGAATTCCATGCAGACATTCATTATAGCTACGCTTAGTCACGTTCTCCCCAGTACAGATACATGTGAATTTGATTTCTTACTGTACAGGCGTGTCAGACACCGTAAACTGCGGGATGAGTCAGTTCCCATCTGTGGCTGGAGTGGTTCTGCTGCTGCTACTGCTGGCGTGTTCCTGTGTTACTGGTGAGTACCTGGCTGTACCACTTGTGTGTACCGGTGTATCAGACTGTACCTCTTGTGTGTAGTGTACCAATGTACCTGGTTATACCTTTTGGACGTACCGGTGTACCTAACTGTACCTCATGTGTGTACCTGGTTACACCTCTTGGACGTCCCGGTGTACATGACTGTGCCTCGGGTGTGCCAGTGTACCTGACTACGTACAGTGAGAGAATGAAGTATCCTCCCAGCTTTGGCCGAAGTATAATGAAACCTGACTAACCAACACTGTGCATGGGTGTCACTGGCGACCCCTTTCCAAGGTTCCACAGGCCTGTCAACTGTTTATGGGCTCCACACATTCGTCAAAACCCCGGGAAGATACTTCTTCATTCTCTCACTGTATACCTGGCTGTGTGTACCTGACTGTATACACCTGGCTATGTGTACCTGACTGTACACACCTGGCTATGCGTACCTGACTGTATACACCTGGCTATGTGTCCTGGAAAAAATTCAGTTACGGGTCTTAGACAACAATAAATAAGTAATTAAAAACTTAATCAGTTAATAGCGTAAAAGAGCGCCACCGTGAGCGTAATTTCGTATGACGCGATACACATTATAAGGTGTTATGTGTTACAGAGGGATGGAGGGTAACATCAGCCCCAGTTTTTGGTCGAGTTATTCAGCCCAATTTATTAGTACCTGGACTTGTTCATTTCTAAAACAGTGCCATTGTGGGATGAAGATTATACTACTTTTCTGGTGAGGCCTTCCTGTACAGGGATAGCTGGCATAAGTAAACAACAACTGACATCCTCCTCCACCTTACTATGATGAGCATTCTAATAGCATCAGTTACCTCTATTTCACCAGCCTTCAGCCTATAGTACCGTTAATTCTATGGAAAGGGACTTAGTGTGTTCCCGTGTTGCAGGAGAAAAGTGCTCAACGCCTGAGGAGGTTAAGTGCGCCAGCCACCACAAGTGTATCCCGCTCCGCTACGTGTGTGACAACGACCAAGACTGTGACGACCACTCTGATGAAGACCTCCACCTGTGCCGTGTGAGTGTGTGGGAAAGAGGGAGACCGAGGATGATATAGACAAAAAGAAAGCGAAAGTGAAGGAGAAAAAAATTTATATAAAAAAAAAACATGCTTTTGTTAACATTGGTAGTTAACTTACAGTAGAGTAAGTGAATGTAAAAACACCTTTGACATTGCTAATTCTTGTGTTAATTTTAGGACGCTTCTTAAAACTATAAATAAATCCTTGTGATTTTTTCAACTTATTCCTTCCTTCTCTACCCTCCTCGCTGGAGGGCGAAATAGGCATGGCGGAACGACTGTAGCCGCGGGGAAGTGAGGTGCAAGAGGCAAGGCGAGTCCTCCTGCGTCAGTATCCCCGCCTACTGCCGTATGCAGTACCCGCCTTGTGAGGGGGACCTCGACCTGCGAATTTGCCAGGTAAGTCATTCACATGTTGAGTCCCAAGGGAAGACCCAGGGGGTTCCTGGTGGTCTTGGTGCACCCATACACCGTACATTATTCGTTTATATCCCAGAATGTAGAAAATGCCACAATTTGGGTTCTGATTTACAAAAAGAGTAAATCAACAGCTATAGGACCACAGTGTGGGCAGACAAATATACTCTTAAAATTATCTTTATACATATGACTAAGGCCTAAAATTTACTTTCATACTTTCGCCGTTATGACGTAAGCATTAGACTGCCTTTGTTTTAAAACTGTCTATGATGAAGATGTGGTGAGAAATGCCTGTGTTACCACTGTACCAGGAATCCCCCTTTTATAATTAAATGTAAACCACTGTCATCCATTATCCAACACCTGACTGAGCAGTCTTATCAACGCATCACAAAACGGTTTCATACAAAGAAAATCCTGCTTGACAAACTCAATCACGTTCCTTAAAACGGTAACAGACTACGTGGACCAAGGCTCATCAGTGGATGCGTTGTACATGAATTTCTGCAAGACTTTTGACAAAGTCTCACATGCACGACTAGCCTCTAAGATCCAGGCACATGGCATCATATGCAAGATTTTGACGTGGATTAAGAACTGGATTCAAGACATGCAACAAAGAGTGGTAATAAATAGAATACATATTGAATGGAATAAGCTTCTCAATGGAGTACCACAAACCTCTATCGTTGGACCCAGCTTGTTTTTTATCTACATAAATGACATCGATGAAAATACACCGAACCACATTGCCAAGTCTGCGAACGACATGAAGATATTTTGGAAGATATCTAGTCAAGACGATGGTGCAACAATGCAGGAAGACCTGAATGAGCTGCTCAAATGGTCCCGAGACTGGCAAATGCTCTTTAACATTACGAAATGCAAGATCCAACACGTAGCATAGAACAACCCTAAGCACAACTATTCTATTAATAACACTTTCCTGGATACTGTCGATAAAGAGAAAGATCTTGACGTTATGATCGATCATTCACTGAAGGCGGCACAACAGGTGAGGGCAACAGCAAAGAAAGCAAATTGAGATTTGGGAATTATAAAGCGCACCTTTGTATAGAAAGATAGGTTGAATGCTCCATCAACTGTGCAAATCTCAAGTACGTCCCAGTCTGGATTACTGTATACAGGCATGGAAACCCTTCCTCCAGAAAGAGCTAACTTCCTTAAAAAAGGTGCAACACAGAGCGACGAAGATGATTCCGGAACCATGTTATCTTGATTATCCAAGTAGACTGAGGGCCTTAGGGCTAACAACCCTTCAGACAAGACACAATAGGGCAGATCTCATTGAAACATTCAAAATCCCGAAATGGATGTCACCCACCACCAACACGATGGGACATAACTATAAGCTCATCAAGTCATCATGCAGAACGAATATAAGGAAATAGTTGTTCACTCAGAGGGTGGTAGACCCATGGAACGGTCTACCGGCCCAAACTATGGAATCAAGAACAGTACTGGGCTTTAAAATAGCCTACACAGGCCACTGGCCCCCTTCCCTCGGCATGGACACATCTAGTGGGTGGTCATTGGGTAGATAAGGTAAATATTTGTAACTTTATATTGTTTCACTTTAAGTTTTTTCATAAGAATAAGGATCACCATATTTGTACTTTTTTTTTTTAATGAAATCATCAAATTTGTATCCATAGATTATCAAGAAATCACAAAATGTATGTTTTTGAATACAGTATATGAATTGTATTTTAATTTATACAACAAGCTAAGGAAATAATATTTGTCAGATGCTACACAACAAGCAGCTACAGAGCCTGGACTCAGTCGTCCTCACAGATTATGGTCTTGGTGGTAAGTTTGTTGTTGTTTTATTCTTACCGAAGTGCTTCAGTCTCCAAGGTTAACATAGTTTTAATAATTCTACTAAACACTAGACAAATTTTTTTAAATTAAGAAATAAATTCACCCCTGAACCTGACGGGTCCTGTATAGTATATTACTCGTGACACATGCTTAAATTCCGTTATGTGCACTGAAGACACACACACACACACACACACACACACACACACACACACACACACACACACACCAGATTATAACACAAATTTGCTCGACTGTTACCCGGGTAACCTACATGATAAGAATACATTACAAGAGTGTAACGTGAGACTTTACAAGGTACTGGGGTATAACAGGAGTGCTATAAAAGGGGCACTACTGGGGTATAACAGGAGTGTTATAAAAGGGGCACTACTGGGGTATAACAGGAGTGCTATGTTTCAGACAGTAACCTGGGTATAACGCAGCAGGAGAAAGAAGAGTTCCTATTGGCCGTCAACTCGACCCTCCAGCATCCTGCCTGTCCCCCTCTCTACACCCTGCTGGACGGTGCCTGTCTGTCTGTCTTCTATCCTGGTGCTGTGAGTGTCTGTCTGTCAGTCTCTTTTCCGTTCTTTAGAGGTCATCCATTTTTTTCATTATTTTCAAAGACATACGTGAGATAAAGGAGGAGGGGCCCAACACTGTGTCTCTGTCTCATCATTACCGAATTATAAGTATGATCAATCTGCAGTCAAAATGTTTCATACCTGATATACAATTAAATGTTATTCATGTAGTTAACAAAAATTATCTTTATACTTATGCAAAAATAATGACTTATATATATATATATTATTTTTCTATTTTTTGCGGTGGGGGGGATTATGAGATACAGTATGTTCCTTTTATTACATTATTTGTATGATATTTAAGATTCCCCCTGATGAGTGTTTCTGTTTGTTAGTTAGTCCGCCAAATATAATGCGTCTGCCTTGATGCCTGTCTGTAATAACCTGTCTGTTTATTTGTCTGTGTTTAACAAGTGTCTGTCTGTCGACAGCGTCTTTATCTGTCGTTGAAATAAGTGTGTATGTCTATTAGACTGTCTTTACTCTTAAGTCCGTCTGCCTATCTGTCAGTGATACCCGTGTTTGCCTTTCGGTAGTGTGAGAGGCTTTGTCAACGGTGAGACAGTATGTGTACTTCTTCCTAAATAAATATAATTGATATAAATGTCTGTCTTTAAGGAGTGTGGTGTCTACCCCTTGTATGTCTGTCTGTTAGTAATGTGCACATATTTAAACACTGAATTTTTGCGTTTATTCTTTCAACTGTCTGTGTATCTGTCTGCAATATAAATGACTGGTTTTCGGTGGCGTGTCTGAGTCAGTCTTTTTATTTATACTCCCCGTCAGGTGAGTTGGGGCGAGGCTCGAGGCTTCTGTAAGGTCATTGGCGGCGACCTGCTGACTCTTAACAATGTGAGCCAATACACCGCCCTCCTCACACACCTCCACCACACCCGTGAGTCTCTTGTTGCTGTTTGTTGTTGTGTGTGTAGTAGTAGTAGTAGTAGTAGTAGTAGTAGTAGTAGTAGTAGTAGTAGTAGTAGTAGAGGTCTTACTACTGTAAATTTCCACCTACTGTTCCCTCAGGGATGACCAGGGACTTTTGGGTTGGCGGTCGATACGTGAACCACACCCAGGGCTGGACCTGGATCAACCACGCTTCTATCAACCTAGGATCCCCTTACTGGGCCCTCAGGTCAGTCCCTTGCTCTACGACCCTTGCTTCTTTAAAGCAAGAGTTTGGTCCTTGACCGAATTCCCCCACATTTTGAGGTCTTGGGTTGATCACTTCCACCATAATCTTTCGTTCTAGTTAGTTCTCCTTGATCGTTATATCATCATACATCTATAGTTTTAAAGCTTGCTATTACCATATTAATAATTTCTTAGGCTATGAAGTATTTTTTTTTCTTGAGTGAGACTCATCTTTCCATTTGCAATTTATAAATATAATTTCAACCACTTATTAGCTTAATAGCCATTCGAGCAGTCGGTCTGTTCTTAGCTACGACATTCATTGTCTCGTGTTAGTACAAGAGGAAACCAGAGTACCCGGAAAAAAAAACATGCAATGTTAGGTGGTGTCACACTGCATGACACCCTTCTCACATCCGACCCGGGCCGGGCATCGAACCCGTGGTGATAGGGAAACGCGTTACCGCTGTACTATCACACACTTATTGTACAGTATACAGGATCTTATGTGAATTTATAACTAACCTTGAACACTTTGCAATTATTCGCTGTGATAAGTAGTATTCCGCTACTCCTGGCCAGGTACGAGGGCACCTGTCAGAATCGTAACGTGACCTCCAGGAAGACGGGCAGGACGCGGCTGGCCAACGGTGGCACCTGCTACCACTACCAGCAAGCGCCCCACCACCACCCTGTGGGCTGGTGCGTCGCCCTCACCTACCAACATTACTACTACATGACCGACGAGGACTGTATCCTGAGGAAAAGTCCTCTCTGTGTCTACACCCATGAGGATATCCAACAGCTCACTTTGATTTGAAGTTTTACTAGTTTTACTAAGAATCACCTTCAGAATATGGTTGGTCATTTTTATGACTAGACTGATAGTTTCGGTAAGACTTTAAGGTACTGAGGGCTTTAGTTTGTTGGAGGATTTTTTTGTAAATGTTTCAGCTGCCAGAAATAATAAGAGTATGCCTTTCTACTAAGTCTACAAAAAAAATCTTAAAATACTATACATCGTTGCTCGGTCAGTAAAGTCTTGTCCCCAGTCATGATTTTTTGTGAACTCCCGACTAGTCACCAGCGACAACATTTGATGTATCTTATACCATTCTTCTTACATACAGAATACTGTAGAACTGTAAGATCTGTGGTTATAAATTTGTAGTAAAATTTATTCGTGGGCTGAATTTTCACACACCTTGATGTTAACATCGTAGCTCATAATAAAAATTCATCATTAAATGGCGGTTTACTAACTTTTGTTTCACTAACATTCACATTTGCACAAAGAAGTGAAAATCAAGGAAAAATATCTGTAAACATGAAGTCATCAACCTACTGTAAGCCAAGGACTATTCTTGCTGTAAGCTACGACCCGCTTAATGCATCAAACGGTTCAAAAGATTCTCCAAGGTTCGTATGATGAATATTATTTATAAACTAAGGCGTAAGAATGTACCCAATTGGTTTACTTAATAATTATGAAGACCAAAAATTAAGTCCAAATATAGCATGAAAGATAAACATCCACCTCAATTATGTCCGTTCACTTAACACCAGTAAATGAATGATTTTACTGAATATCTATCTATCTATCGATCTACTACTTCACGTACAAAAACTCCAAATATAAGTCAATTTAGTCCGGTGTTCAGCGATTGCTATCAAATACTCTGTAATTTTAAGCATATTCTTTGACGTTATTTTTGTTTTTATCTTCAGTCAACCAGTTAAGTGTCTTCATACATCGGGTAAGAAAAGAAAGGGGGAAAACGGAAGGAGAATAAATATTATGTTAGAAAAGGGTAATTTATAAGTAGACTACGAACTGTGAGAACGTAAACTCACCGTAAGACCCTAGTCTAACTGGGGTCAAGGTTAATGTGAATAATTACTGTATATAAAGGAGAAAAAAAACACAACAAACAAGAACTTCTGGCTCAGTAAGGATCCTATTAGCAGGCCAAACTATTACAGGTCAGGCGATGTTGTAGTAGATTTCTCCCCTACAAACGCTGTTTGTCGCTGAGTAGCCGACCCCGCGAATTCCCCAGTGTATGCCTCGTGGTCTGGGTCAACCAGCGCCGCCTTACATGACGGAGGTCAACTACTAAGAAACGCCTACCTCCGCTATTTAAGACCTGACCTCGTGGTGACCTCTCTCTTCTTCTAGCTACAGCCGCAGCAAGCAACACCACCTCCTCCGCCGCTGCCTGGCGGTCCTCTCTCCCGCCGGCGAGCATGGCGACCCACAAGCTGTCCTCCTCTGAGCATCCTCACCAACCAGCTCTCTCTACATCACGCTTGTAACCACGTTGCCACTTCCCAGCACCAAGCTGCATTGTACATCCAATACAACATGTATACAGAGAGCACATTGTGAGTTTCCTTCCTCCATCCCATCCTGAGTGTGAACCAAACATCCCGTACCCCTGTAGGGATTCGTGGTATAATGTTGTCTAGCACTCAGGATGGAAGGAAACTCTAATGTGGTTTTCTTGTATAATATATAAGTTATATGATAGACAGTCTGGTGCTGGAGGTGCTGTGTGGTGAGGGGCTGCTTGGTAGAGACGTGCGGTGAGTAGCTTGTTGAAGGAGGTAGATGTGCAGGAGCTTCGTTAGAGAAGATGTTGCCTGTTGCTGGATTCCTGGTTGAATGAAATGTTAACAGCGTGGAGCTTGCTGGAGGAGATGTTGCTTGTTCAGGAAAATGGGCAGAATGAAAGTTGGTTGGTGAGGAAGCTCAGAGAAGGACATGCTCGCTGGCGGGAGCGAGGACCGCCAGGCAGGCGGAGGAGAGGCGAGGGTCGCCAGGCAGCGGCAGAGGAGGAGGTGTTGCTTGTTCAGGAAGATTGGTCAGACTGAATCTCAAGGGAGAGACAGAGCTTATATACACCCAGCAGCGGCTATGAGTCATGGTGGGAAAACCCGAGAAGTAGCCGGTGAATAGTTTCGTTGCTAAGATACAGTAACATCTGGTTGGTTGCTAGGGAAGGCGGCACATTGGAATGTGACAGCAGGTGGTGTGCAGCTACGCAGTTAGTTTGTAGAGGAGACGTCCACTACAATACTCCCCCTCCCCTCCAGGCAGTGTAGGAGACTTGTTGATTGTAGAGTTGCTTAGCACATGTGAGGAAGACCGGGCGGTGCATGCCTCATGTGAGACAACGGCGATGGCGTGATGAGCCGATCGCTGAAATACAACTGTCTAGATACACACTATCTGTGGGAGAAGGGAGAAAAAGGGTGTGTGGAGGCGATGAATGTTGTGCTTCCCTCACGACAGGTACAGGGTCGTCAGATGCGCCTGCTGGGGTGTGTGTGGGCCTGGATCAGGAGCAGGGGCTGCGTCAGCAGAAGCGGATTAGGGCTCGTGACAGCAGCTGGGTCCACGACAGCAGCAGGGTGCAGGACATTAGCAGGGAGTACCTGAGGGAGAAAAGAGGGGGTGTGGAGGCGATGGATGTTGTGTGCTTCCCTCACGGCAGGTACTGCTGGGCCGGGTCGGCGTCTGAGGCAGGACGGGTGTGCTGGGGTCGTCAGAATGTGGTGCGTGGGGCAGGAAGAGGAGCTGGTGTCTGCTTGAAGACTGGGAGCGTGATCAGTGTCTCCTCCATCCTGTGTGAGTGCTAATCTCCGGGAGTCACCATTGTAGGGGTATCGAGATATTAATGTTGTCTAGCACTCAGGATGGAAGGAAACTCTAATGTGGTTTTCTTGTATAATATATAAGTTATATGATAGACAGTCTGGTGCTGGAGGTGCTGTGTGGTGAGGGGCTGCTTGGTAGAGACGTGCGGTGAGTAGCTTGTTGAAGGAGGTAGATGTGCAGGAGCTTCGTTAGAGAAGATGTTGCCTGTTGCTGGCCTCCTGGTTGAATGAAATGTTAACAGCGTGGAGCTTGCTGGAGGAGATGTTGCTTGTTCAGGAAAATGGGCAGAATGAAGAGTTGGTTGGTGAGGAAGCTCAGAGAAGGACATGCTCGCTGGCGGGAGCGAGGACCGCCAGGCAGGCGGAGGAGAGGCGAGGGTCGCCAGGCAGCGGCAGAGGAGGAGGTGTTGCTTGTTCAAGAAGATTGGTCAGACTGAATCTCAAGGGAGAGACAGAGCTTATATACACCCAGCAGCGGCTATGAGTCATGGTGGGAAAACCTGAGAAGTAGCCGGTGAATAGTTTCGTTGCTAAGATACAGTAACATCTGGTTGGTTGCTAGGGAAGGCGGCACATTGGAATGTGATAGCAGGTGGTGTGCAGCTACGCAGTTAGTTTGTAGAGGAGACGTCCACTACACCCCACAATGTTACTCAAACTTTGTATTTCCGTTGCGGAAAAACATGTTAAAATATGTGTATTTGTACTTCAATATTGTGAATGAAGTGCAGCAATATTTAGCTAAAGTACTTGAGAATGTGTTAAAGGAATATCCTTCCTTCCTAAGGCTTTAGTAAGCCCCTTTACAATATTTATACTGTATATACTTGTGACACTTCCCAGATGCTTCTGGTGTTATTGTACAGGGGTACCTAGTGACAGCACTAGGATCCCGCTTCCTCTATCAAGGAATAAACTATTGAAAGTGAAAATTGACAGTACTTGAGATCCGTTTTCTGCTTGACCAGTCGTCCGTAAAGAAGAAAAAAAAAACAGTATGTTGCCGACAAAAAGAGAAAAATGGCAGTAAAATAGATCAAATTAAACAGAATCAAATTAAAATATACATATACACAAGAAAAACAGAGACTTTTTAAAACTTAAAAAAAATTAACCATTTATTTTCCCAGCTGCATACAAGCGAGGGTTTACTAATGGCGATAGTATGATAAAACTCATCCTTCGAACCGGATTCGAACCAGTGACCTATGGATTACTGCCTCATGTGCCGACTACAGTCCACCGCTCTACCAACTGAGCTATCGAAGGTTATGAAAAGATTTTATAGTCAACTGAATAAAAATACCAAAAGATGTATCAATTATTACTATATATCTGTAGTGATGAATTTTGCTCACCATGTATAATTAGAAATATTCATTGCCTGAGCATTATTATGTAAATAAAAGGTAACTCTTTCTTTGTTGCCACCAACCGAATCTCGAAAATGTTATAGTTTAGACAATTCAGACACTTTCTTCTAATGACGTTTCCATTGCAAATTACCTAGCCTCCCGGCATATATATATATATATATATATATATATAGTTATTTGCTAGGGAAACGTCAGAGAAGAAAAGTGTCTTGTCTGAACTATTGATTGCAAAATTAAAATTATCAAAAATTTTTGGGTGACAACAAGTAGAATACCAAATAAAGTATATAATTCAATTCAATTTCAATTGTTTATTCCTTGATAGAGGAAGCGGGATCCTAGTGCTGTCACTAGGTACCCCTGTACAATGACACCAGAAGCATCTGGCAAGTGTGACAAGTATATACAGTATAAATATTATAAAGGGGCTTACTAAAGCCTAAGGAAGGAAGGATCTTCCTTTAACACATAATCAATGTTATTTACAAAATATCTGGCCAGTATGGGGAGGATCATCGTGTCTCCGTCAGGGGGTCGTGGAGTGGTGGTCCAGCAGGCGTCACGGAAGCGTTGTGTATGGGGACATCTTAGGAGGTAGTGGATAAGCGTGCTGCTGTCGGGTCTTCTGCATAATGCACAAGAGCGTTGCTCAGGGGATGCGGGGATACCACTCTCCCAAGCAAAGTCATACCCAATGATGATACGGGCAGCAATCACGTCCCCTTTCCGCGACCCTTTCCCATAGACGTACGAGAGGTCAGGAAGTTTACGGACATCGTACCAGGTGGGCGGGGAGTCCAGGGGGACGGCTGCTTCCCAAGCTTCTCTCTGTTTGCGGCGAATTTGGGTCCTAAGCTGTAAAAGTGTTCGAGGAGCAACGTAGTCAGGTGTGGCCTTGTTGCAGCCAGCCTTGGCAAGGCCATCTGCTGCCTCATTCCCCAAGATACCGACATGACTGGGTATCCATAGGAATGTCACAGGAAGGCCTGCATCCTGAAGTGTGGATGTTAACCCTCGTATTCGGAGGATGAGGTCCTTATTTTCCCCTGATCCAAATGCGATCCCGTCGAGAGCAGACCTGGAATCGCAGCAGACAAGCAAGGGGCAGAAACCATCTGCTTCTTCCTCAGCGAGAAGGGCAGCAAGGAGGGCTATTAGTTCAGCCTGAGTGGAGGATGCCCCGTCAGAAACTGAGAGACAGTTTGATAGGCTCAGGGGCATCAGGA